GGAGATCTGAGCAAATGTGAAGACTAAAGAGACATCACAGTACTGTCAGAACTAGGACAATTTTTCAACAGAGTGTTGCCGAACCGAATGAAAGATTCAGTAGATGCACGGCTTCGAGATCAACAGGTTGGATTCCGTAAGGATCGGTCATCCACATACCAACTCGCCACACTACGCATCGTCGTTGAACAATCGACTGCATAGAACTCGTCACCATACATCAACTTCCTTTATTATGTGTAAGTGTTTAACAGAGTGGATAGGAGAAGGTCATTGGAACTTCTACGGTACTACGGTGTACCTGACAAAATTGTCAACATCATCCGGAATTCATACGACGGACTGCACAATAAACTCGCGAAAATAAACTGGAAGCAGCTGTAAAAGATTTCCACGTACAGAGGTGGGTGAATAATACTTGTGGTTGGCTTGTGCTATTCGATGATGCGTAACGATCGTAAGTAATTCGGTAAGCATTCATACTACTTGTCAATGAATACGTGACTCGCTTCACGTACGGACTCGATAGGTGATGATGTGTTCTGTGTCTCTTTAAAATTTACTACCCATTTCTTCAGCTCCTCCCAAAACTCTCTAACTGTTACGCCTTCTTCGTATTTAACTTTTCGTTCTGACTTACTATGTTGCATTGTCGTCCTATTCGCTTGATAATATAGTTTTGTAACAACTCAGGTGGATTTTTTATGAGTTGGCCACGTACATTTTAACAATATGAAAACTTCAAAGTGCATATACATTAATCCACTTTCTTAATTTGTATGGGCATTATATTTCCTGTTATTATATACTGAATATTTAGGGGCTTTGTTTTTTGAAAAAGGAGATAACTTCGCGCTCCAACTGGTCTGTTCCACGATAGAAATAAACTTTTGTTCACCATTGGTCTGGTTTCTTTCAGTTAATCGAAGGGTACACACGAGAACGAAAGTTTTTCATATCTCGCATTTTATAGGCCTTTTAACTGTCGTCGCGTGATCTTCCGAGTTTTTCCTTATCAGTTCTTATGATTTTTCACTTGTTTTTTATTCCTTTATGTTCAGCATATGCCCTGACGTCCTTGGATTCTGTTTGGTTGTTTTTGACTCTTATCCTCTTGTTTTAACAATTTTAAAGATTGGTAAGTTTGTCAGTAGAGACCCTATCCTCGTGCTAGTGACTTTTTGAAGCAGTAGGCCTCGTTACATGTTCAATCCCTTCCATGTTGTTCTCCATACTGATTTTTTCTTCTACTGTATTGTTTATGACTTAGAACAACTTGCTCGGAGAAACCTCAGGTTCTTTAAGTTTATTATCATCTTGTAGTTCTGTTTACTCGGCGGTGCAATTCTGTTTGACTTCAGTTTTAGCTCAGCCAAAACCAGGTGGTGATATAAGGCGACCTTAACTCTCTCCTTGTTCTTACGTCTTCAAAGGATTATCTGGAACCTTTTTATTGATCGATTTGGTTACCCAAAGCGTGTGAAATCTATATAGCTTGTCTATGCGTTAGTGAGAGAGTATGGTGCCACGTATTTCCATGTTGTCGAAAACACATAGATATGCAAGATTCGCACGATTTTAATTACTTTCATGATACCCCACGAAGGCTTTATACTTAATGTTGTCCCTATCATATTTTGGGTTCAAGCTCAACGCCGAAAAGAGTAGGTCTGTTCCAAGGCAATTTTTCATGATGAACTTCAGCATTCCATAAAATAAGTCCTTATTATTGTTGTCTTCGGTAGATAACATTCTCAGTAGTTCTTTCTTTTTTTTAGACCACATCAGACTGTTTTTGGTGCATTCCATTTATGAATAGGGGAAGAAAACAGCACCTCCTTCGAAGGAATTCTTTTCTGTGTAGCTTGTTTCTAACGCTCTTATATTATTCGCACGAGAGCCAGCCAGTGTCTCCTCATTCTTACGGCAACTTCGATGCCGCTGCCGGCCTCCTACATGGTATAGATATTCTACGTACTTATAGAAATTGTTGTCTTGTAACATACGATGTTATAACATTTCTATGTGGAGACCTTTTTACTCTTACGGCAGTGTTCTTTCGGTGTACTATAGTTAGAATTTTTCCAGCTGTGGTTTTGCTCGTGTTGAACGAAATAATAGCAGAAAAATCGATAATGTTGAAGATTCCACATGTATTCAGAGTTTGACAACGCTTTAACCGGTGACACCCTGTATTATGAGTCATACCCACCAAGTGAAATCAAAAACAGAAGCGTGGAGGTTTCGGAGATGTATTCGACAAGCTATCAATATATCGGGGATTGTCTGATCTAATCTGGCTAGTGATTGCAGTAAATGTTGAGCACGGCGTCCCCACTCGTGACCTGGTGCGGATGCATGACCGAGCGCCTTCAGCTAGTTGAGTTCATTAAAACCAATGTGGTCAGCATACAATGTCAAAAACTTATTCTGGGGATCCATTTACCACTACAATGTAATCGTACCAGTAAATTTACCTTACTTAGCTAGCTTAGATTCTTAAACTTACAGCATTTAGAATTACAGAACGACAAGAAAGATAAGATAACAAATATATTTCACTAGTACATTTATGTAGTAAACTATACGTACGAGTACATCAATTCAGAATATTAATTAGGTATTGTGCAAACGATTTGGCCAGTCTGTAACCCAAGAAATTAAGTTCTGAAGGGATAAGTGGTGGCATCTCCAGATTATTTTTTAGAAATTGTTTAATATTTATCTACATGCTTGATAAATCAGATGAGTTTCTTTTCTTCATTGACTGAGGTTTTGAGAATCCTGAATGGAAACAAAGGCTGTATGTATCAATTAATTGGGACCCTATTCCTCAACTCAGGATCACATGATAATCGTTTGAAGATTTGAGTTCTCTGCACATAAGTTAAGGGCAGACGATGGGCAATATTTTCACGAGATATATGTATTCTTACTGACTAATCAACTGTCTAAAAGTATCAAGGATATACAGTCTACTTCCATGTCTAGCACATCGAAGGGAAAAACAGACCGTAGATGAAGGATAATGAAAACAATTATCTCGCCTTTCCATCTTCATAGTAAGTGCCTGAAACGCAACGGCCATAATTGTTTATTCTTGCAAAATACACTACGATAAATGAAGGTCATAATACGCACATTTATGAAGAAAGGTAGTCAAGGTGATCTCGAAATTGTTATTAAAGCACTTCAGAATAAACGTTATTTAAAATATGAAAGCCCTTTATTCAAAATTAAAAATCTTTCGTAAATTTAGTTCTTTCCAATATTCTAGATTTGTATTGATTCTCCTTTATGTTTGTATACAAAATATGTAGCTGTACTTTTTATGATATTCGCCTGAATATAGGGGTGAGAAGAGGTATTTAAGTTTTGATTTTTGCAGTGCTTTCATTGAAACTTTGTCCTTCGATCTCAAGGCATATTTAATTCGGGAATTTTTTTGATAAATTAAGTGGATCTTAAGGTCCATCAAACACTTCTACGTATTCTAATCTAAAGTAGTTAAATATTCGGGCACCCGCACTACAAACCAAACGTTTTTTGGGGTATTTCTTACATTTGTGATCAGATTTGTTGCTCGTGTCTCGCTGTATAACTATATTCTTCAAATTCGAATATGATTTAGTCATGGTCTGAAGGCAGATTGTATTTTAAGGGGTTTTAAAGAGCAGTTTATGTATGATAATTTAGAAGAGAGACTAACAATTGAAAATTCAGCCGCTGATTTGGCAGTCACTTTAGATCTTTGCACTTAATAATGAAATCGATTGACAATGATCAGCATTGAAATTTGTGTAAGATTACGACAATTCGATGATCAAAACTATAGATTAGTGGGGTCAGGTCATATATGTTGTACCCTCCACTTCAACATTTTAAAAGTTGTCTAGAGTTGTAGAAAACAAACCAGAAAAACGGCCCATTCATTTTTATTTCATTTGTCTGGTCAGAATATCCTTTAATACTTGAATAGATATGCAAAGGACAGAGTGAAAGATGGTTCTACACCTAAGCTCTAAGGTAGTTTAAAATTTTTTACATATGTTGTGAAACTGAAGAGTTTCTAGTCATAACGTTAACTTAGGAAATATGAACATTACGCGCCATAAAATTAGACATTTTAATATCTTGTGTCCTAGGTATACAGAAGATTTCTTAACAAATACTCATGTTGTTCTATTTAAAAGCAGAATAAAAGGTTTTTCGTGAGGGTAAAATAATGAAAGCATTACTCCTTAGGCTAATGAATTACTATGATTATTTGTGTCAGTATTAATCTCATTCAGATTCACGATATTCAATTCACCGTATACACTTTAAGAGAGAGAAATAGGTATGGTAAATCTGTATTAAATGCCTTTTTCTTTCCATTAAAACTTTTCTAAACGCCAAGAAGCTTTTCAAAACGTTGTTATACAAATTTTTTAGTCATGAACTATCGTAGAGATTTTAAACACACTTTTCGATGATTGCCGAGTACATATTCTGCCAAAAGCTCTGTATGGTATTTTTCGACACTTCGCTTCAGATTTGGTAAGACCCAATGACTTGTTACATACTTGCCATCTTGAACTATTCACAAAAACATGCAACCTTGGAATAATACAACGCGTTCTAAAATTTCGAGCTATTTTGATTCATTAACAATGATATGTAAAACGACGTAATATGCATTCTTAAAAATCCGTTTCAGAAGAGTTGATCGATAAATAGTGTACGAAACCGGAGTTCTCCAGCTATAAACAACAGTAATGTACCTGATGTATGGTTGCAAGTAGCATTGTATATCCGTAAATTTGTGATAAAATATTGGAGCTCTGATCCTTTTAGGGAACCACTGATCTTATCCCTCAGGTGAATTTCGTTAAGTATACATTTAGTAAGCAACAAACTTTTTATTAATGATCCAATATCTGACAAACGGAAGTAGTTTAGAAAAAATAACTGAGTCCTTGTTCTGTCATTCCTTTAAATTTTTCATTAAATTTTATTTAGGGATTGAATTGCAGCAATACGAAATGAAGTTTCTAAAGGTCCATTGGTTCTTCAGAAATTATTGAACGACTTTGGTCAAAACTGATGACTAGAAAGGTAAAACTCACAGTCATTTCACCCATTACTTAGATTGAACAATACAAACTGCACTAACTGTTACTACAGTGATTTTCTCAGCACATTTGGTTATCGATTTACGAAATATTTATTACTGTCTATTTTTGCTCCGATTATATAGTTAGCATAGGAAAAACAGACATACGTGTCCCCTATCGCTGATTCGGCCATGAAAGTATATTTCTAGCTAGAACAAAAACGTTTCCTTTTCGGTGGTTTGCTTGTTCTGTCACATGAGAATCTCATTCTATTGTAAGATGAAAAGTATCATTAATTCCCAATAACACTTGATATTATTATGGTTACTCAACCATATTGCATTATTACGTGGATATTAACAACAACTCAGTTATATTTTAAAAGATATTCAGATTAGTTGGAAAACTTTTCATAATGTCAGAAATAAGTTTCTAAGAGAACATGTTCGTAGTTCAAGTTTGTTAGGCAACGTCTATCAAGTATTATCATTCTGAAAATACAGTAAAACACAACTCAATATCTATCCAAAGATTTTACAAAGTTGTTTTTGGAAGATATATATTAAAATAATGCTCAGTTTATTAAGCAAATGTATGTTGCAAGGAATAAAGAATGGAGTGTTACCATTCCTTTATTCTTTTTAACATAAATGAAACTGATTTTTGTAAAACATTCGGCAAAGATTTATTACGAAGTGTTATTTCTATGTTGACTTTTTATGTGCATGCCGTACAGAAATGAACATTTGGTGGGTTTATATACTATATTTTTGTATGAAGCAATTACTAGTGATTACAAATTATCAGGATTAAAGGAGCTTATTCCATTCTATGATTTGAAATATGCCGACAATTTGTTATTGAAGTGAGAAAGTCGTGCTTTCTTTATATAACCACTTTTAAAATACTTTTATGCATTTAAATGTTTCTGGATTTTCAAAAGCAGTCATTAAGAAACACTTAATCCAGGTTTATGGCTGTTTAGTCGAATCAGAAGTGTTATTTTATTCACTGAGTGAAAACATATCTTGTTGACGAGTATAAATTAACACGAAACTTAAGTTTATGACATTCTACTGATCACTTACTGTATTAATCACATTTCTATGCGAGTAATTTAGAACTGCTAACAACATATTCTAAAGTTATTATATAATTTTTAATTCTCGGTTAAACACTTTATATTTATCCTTGAAAAACTATTCTGAATTCATTCAACTATCGAACATGACTTACAAAACACCTAACAGTGTTCCGTACATAATAAAACAACTTGATTTATTTCATATTATAAACTAGTATTGTAGTAAGGCTCAGACCATCATAAAACTGTGATTTTCACAAGTGAACAATCAGGGAAACACTTTAAGTTTATGGGATAGAATAATTTTTTTTAACAATGGTAATGAAAAACAAGATTTTTCCAATGGCATGTTTGAATGTTACTGTTAATATAAATAACTGTTTTGAAATATTTTTATTTAATTTCAGGTCTATTTTATTTTCAATTGGTTTGTTTCGTTGAAAGCACAAACAACATTTTAATATTGTTATAATTAATGATCTTATGAGAATTTTGTTTCGGAAAAAACCAACTTCGTTAGTTACTAACTTTCAAGCAAATGTAAGCAACATTTGTGAGTCATATGATGTGAAGAAAAAGGATAATTTGGAAAATATTGAATATTGTAAAATAGAATATACAAATTCAGCTGAAAAGGATGTTATATCAGGTAGGTTGAACAATCTTGAACTAGTTTCATTCTATGCAATAAATAATAGTTTAACAGTTCAAAATGAGCTTGATTTGAAATTTTCTTTAACAAATACTGATTTTTTTTGCAGATAGTATAAAGATAGATATCATGTTTGGTTTTAGGGTTTTATGGAGTTGTGAAATTGAATTTTAATAGTGATAAGCAAGTTAGTTTATTTCCATTACCATTATGACCACTAATATAATAAATAATTCATATCTGTGAAATAATTACAAACCAAGCATCTTAATAAGAATCTTAATAAATAATGGGAGAATTAATGTGGGTTTATGTTGGTTAATAAGTAAAAACGTTTTTACAGAGATAAGATGAATATGTGACTGAACAAAGAATTTTAAAAATTTCACATATTGTTATACGGAAGATTTTAACATATATATCAATAAACTACTTTATACTAGTAGTTTATACATACAAAATAACTAAATACTGGCAAGTATATTCCAAACCAAATTTATTCACAACCTACAATTTATCATTTCAAAGTTATAAATTCATCCTAAATGTTTCTTCTGATACGGATTTCTCTTTAAATTGGTTGTATAAAACTACTTTTGACACAAAGTGAACTACAATAATTTTTAATCAAACTATTAATTATTTTCAGAAGGGGGGTTTAGATGAGAGTTTAGTAATTTAATAGTTGAATTCATGATTCAATTAAAGCTAGATTACCATGAAAAACGTGGAAGCACTGGACGGCCATTTCGTCCCACCATCGGATCTCTCAGCAGTGATCACCCACAATCTAGCTCGCGGGATTCGAACCCAGGACCTACTGGTCTCACACGCGAATCCCGTGAGAGAAATCGTGGATGCGCACTACTGAGGAGTTCCATACTAGAACGAAATGGCCGTCCAGTACTTTCAGGTTTTCCATGGTGGTCTAGATTCAAGTGATTCATGAATTCAACTATTAAATGATTAATTATTTGTTTATTAATTTTTTCTATGCTGAAATTTTAGATGTTCAATCATCAAGTCTAAATTATAATTCATCTTCTCATCCTTCGCCGATCAATAATAATGAAAAGAATAATTTAACAAAAGATAAAAACTATGAATATAAAGTTAATGAAGATTTATCATGTTTAACTGGATCAAATTTATGTGAAAAAGAGAATTTATCAAGTCATATAAACAGTGAACCATTAACAAATACTACTACTCAATGTTTAAATGGACAAAAATTAAAAATACATGAAAATGATTCATTAAAACCAGTGGAAAATGTTAACAAACTAATATCTAATAAAAATGAATTGACAAAAGAAGTTACACAAATTACCCATTCAAAATTATCTACCTTTCCTATTATAAATAACAATAATAATAATAATAATAATAATAATAATAATAATAATAATAATAATAACAATAATAATAATAACAATAATAATGAAAATAAATTATTGCGACGAATTAAAACTGAGCGTCACTATAATCATAATAATGTACAATTTAATACAATTGAAAAAAATTGTCAGTTATCAACAGAACGTTTAAAAATAGCTAAAGATGAAGTTGATGAAGCAATAAAAGTATGTATATTATTGTTGTTGTTTAAAAAAATATTGTCATTTAAATTATATAATAATCAGTATAGAGTTGTACTACAGATTGTTGAGTTTCATTGAAATCATGAACCAATCAATGTCCCAATACTAAAACGAAATGACTGTCTAGTGCTTCTAAGTTTTCGATAGTAGTCTAATATTGCTCAGTTCATGGTTTGAGTGAAACTCAACAATTCTCATAATTCTGTACGAATAATTATCATATGCTCACTAGTGCTTCCAAGTTTTCGATGGCGGTCTAACGTTGATCGGTTAATGGGTTCAATATGGATTATATAATATTGAGTATATGGTTTGTTTTTTTAATTATTGATAATGATATATAGCTATTTACAATTATGATTACTTCAATGAATAATATAAAATGATATATATGACAGCATAAGCACATAACATCTTTATCCCACGGGTAAAAGGCATTCTTTCAGGTTCTCATATTTCACATTATTATAGGAATAGAAAAATCAGATATCAGTAATGCATTTTAGTCAAATCATTGAATAAACAACAGGAATTACATTAAATCAAATCATTTAATCAGATGTCATGAAATTCAGTATGAAATGAAATAAATAAACATCAATTGTTTTTTCCTTAATTGACAAGTTGAGACACAAGAATGTAAATAAAATGAATGCAAGATGGAATAAAACTTTATTTTATTTTCAAGATTGAACATTTTCTTGTTATTGTATAGTACTATCAGGTTTGATTGGCTTAAGAGGCAGATTATTATAGAGCCATATGGATGAGTTCCTCAACCGCATGCATTACGATTTCAGAACCTCCGAACCTCTTTCTAACTTTGTATAATATATTTTTACGTTATACTCACTGTTTTCTGATTAGCTAATATTTTTCAAGGTCACCTGAGATTCTTTCAAAGGTCGTCCATAGATTGTGGTCTCGCCGTTTGATCTTATTGATGAAAGTTAATATCAAAGTTCGTTAAGTACACTTTCCAATGTTCAACTTAAAAAAAACAGTAAACACTTCAGTTACTGTTAAAATACACCAAACTATCGGTGCTATATTATGTTGTTTCGAACCACGAAGCTCCTTTAAAATACTAATTAAGCAATAAACTTGTATGAATGACTTACAAAGTTATGATTTACCGGTATATTAAATAACAGTCTTAATTATTTTGTAAGATGAACATGATAAGTACACTAATTCACTAATTTTCTGTTCATATTAAACAGAGTCGAAAAATATTTTCTGTTCTTGGTCCTTATAATCGTATCAGAAAAGCATTACGAACTCGTGGATGGATTGAGAAATTTGATGTGAATATTGGACCACCAGGACAAACTACACAGGAATTAAAGAAAACTATACGATCGATTACTAATGTGAAAACTGTACGAAATTCCAATTCGTCTTCGAATGATACAACACTAGAAGATTCTGAAGATGGCGATTCAGATGATGATGTGACTGCTGTGAACGAGGGTATGCTTCTTTCCATAATTTTAGGCAGTTTTCATCAGTGAGCACTTTGCCTTAGGGTCTAAAATAGCTTGAAATCTATGACCTCGTTATTCCATTTTAAAAGAATGATTGAGATTATACTCAAGTTTTTCTTAGTATACTGAAATGACACCAGGCGCTTAACTGAGAACAGCAGTCCAATGAAAAAATATTGGAAGTTATGACAAGTATACCATAGTTTAATTTTTTCGAATATGATCTTTCATCAGGAATGGAAATCAACTGGGTAAACATCATAAATTAAAGATCATTAGACAACATTTTCTTCACAGTTTAGAATTTTCCAGAAGAGTACTTACGACCCATCGCTTTACGACATTTTTCTAGATCATAGAGATTTATGAATCAAATTTAGCTTTTATGTATTGTATTCATGGTATTGCTATACAGTTAACTGTTGGTTCTAACCGTATAAATAACAGATAATTTAATTCAAAATAATATAATAGCTAATTATCTGAATAGATTAAGATTAAAAGTTAAAACATACCACAGTAATTTGTTAACCGTAGATATCTGAAAGATGTATGTTATCTTAAATTAATAAAATCTGATTTCACTAGTGTTTTGGTGCGATAATAAATCTTCCAATTTCAGCTTTAATATTTTCCTAATTTATACATTCTAATAGGTTTCTTGATAAGATGCAACTGTCAAATCAGCTGATTAACTTTACATACCGGGGAACGCCTCACGAAATATTTATTTTCAAACGTAACCTGTACTAACTTTGTTTTTGTTTAGGTGTGTTTACGTTCAATAAAAAAATGATAATTAAATAATTAGTTAATATTTGGTATTTCTAAATATTTACTTCACTACAATGCATTAAATCTAACAGAAAAACAACGTGTTCAACCGTGGGAAGAAGATAGTGGATACTATGGATTATTGGTAGGTGTGACTTTATTTTAATGAGAATAGAATTAGTTAAATATAATTAAAGTGATTTTGTCCCTAAAATTTGTTGTGCTAAGGCCAATAACGTATATATTTGCAAAAAAGACTGCACTAAAAATGGGTGCATGTGGTATTCTGCTGATGGATCTATAAATCATGGGGTTGATGAACATCTTCAACTCCAACATTGAGGTCCGTTTCCCGACTTAACTAGTAATTTTTAAATACTCATTGCGATAAAATATACTGTTAAGTAGATAACAACTTTTATACTAAAACAGCCATTATTTTGATGATTATTAATGATATATTTTGTCACAGTAAAGGATTTTCAGCATCAATTGAGTAATATAATAGTAAATTTCTCTTTAATACATATTTAAATTGTAATTACTCGAAAATCCTATTTCATTAATGTCTTTCCAAAAGTTATTAATCTTCATTTCTCTTCAATAAGGAAAGCTTAATATCAGTTCAGATGCAACAAATATTTTTTAACCACTGGACATTGAATACATGAACTGTAATGTAGTCGTCTTGTTTATGTTAAAGGGTAGACAGAGAGGAAAATATGTCAACAAGTGCAGTATCTTATTTTACAGTTTCCAGTACTCAGCATCAGGATTGATTTTAAGCTCTAAAAATACGCGCGAAAACACGTAGTTAGGATTCATGGTTATATAGTTCCGAAAAATCTAAAACTGGAATGCTGATACTGATATTCATAGTCTGAAAGTAGGTGGACCAAATGTTTAAGCAAAGGTCCGTAGCTTCTGATTTGTACTGGCTTTAATTGTTTAAAAAGGTTTTATTCTTGTCTTTTCTTGGATATTATTTCACAACTTTGATTTGGATTTTATTCATATATGAGATTAAATCTCATTTAAGAGGTTTTTTGGGTTATTTATCGAAAAAACGATCCTAAAATAGCTCTGTTTATAGTTACTGTAAAGTGCTATTTTTAAAGGCATAGGAAAGACATGGCTGATAAAGAAGATTTTGAAGATATTACACTGTGAGAGTTGTATGATTTAATTGTAGAAATCTTCACTATATTTGTAGACAGCATTATCAGTACATAGTTCGAATAGATTTTAACGGTTAGATTCTTTGTTATTACATCTCAAAAATAATTGTAATAATAATAATTATTATTAAAAAGCATATTGTAAATGATAATTCCATGAAATGAGTAAATATTAACTATTGTTGAGTATCAGGAATAGAGTGATCAGAGGAAAAGTAATTTTATCCATGAAACAATGTAGTTTGCTTCCTTAAAAATCTTTCGTAAATATTCAAGATTAAGATCACACATAGAAGATTAAACCCAGTACATTATATTAAGCCTAATCACTGCAAATTGATAGAAATCATATTCGTTTTGAAATAAATGAGTATTAGCTTAAACTTATCAAAGACTATTTATTTAAAAGACTGGTATGTCTTAAAAAACTAGTTTGATTGCTTTTTAGTGGCCCTCGTGTATCTGATCTCAGTTCGATCGTCTGATGATAGTATAGATGATTGCTTTTTAAATATACAATCGTTGATCCAAACAGACGATCAGAGAGACGAAGCAAGGAGGAGAGGGAGCGAAGCAAAACGGATCGAAGAAGGCGTGTGATCCAACACCGATTCGTTTTGTTTCGCTCCTATTCCTTTTCACTTTTCCGCTTCTTATTTTGAATCTCTGTCTGCATAAACAAATGACTGAACTAAATTCCTCAAACGCCACCCGTATTTGGCTCCTTATTACCACCATCATACAAATGGAGTTAGCTTAGATAGTGCACGGAGTTAAATAGGAGATTTGTGTTCATAGAATATTCATACGTTCTTTCAAATTGGAGTCAGATCAGCCGGCACCACAACTTGTAAAATATTTAAATGAAAAATTGGCAGCTGAAAACCTTGTTCATAGATAAGTTGTTTTCTAGAGGGAGAGAGAGAGAAGGAGAGAGAACAAATAAAATTCAGTATCAATAGCTAGATAGTTATACTGATGGCATCCAAACAAAATTACATTTGCTATATTTCAGAAACATCGTGAGTACACAATTAGTTATTCATTGAATTTTAATTGAAGATAACTATCGAGAATTAAATAAAAGATTAGTACCATACAATTGAAGTTAAAATAACTCCATAAATGCAATAATCTTTTTAATACAATACTGCTAATAATAATAATTAATCTGATGTACTAGCTACTAGGTAATACGCATGATTCATTAGAAACTGAACAATGAATAGGTTTTCCGGTGATGACATCATGAAAAATTATAACAATATTCTATTCAAACTTAAGTATAAATCATTACCGACATAGATTTCATGAATTCAGAACTGAAGTTCTGTAAAGAAATTAATATCTATGAGATAATGACTTGATTAAATCTTATTCAAGTTTAATTTCGATTGAATTCATTGAAAATATTTAAATTCCTTGATAAAATGCTGAATAGTTTTTATGATTTTAGAGACATAAACATACATCACCTATAAGAAGCATATTATTTTTACTATTGTCTTCAAACTGTTTTCATGCTGAATATAAAACTATACATTTCAAGCGATGAAAACAACCTTCTACAATTTAAAGCATGAAATTATATTGAGACTATATATAACGAGTGGACTCTATGTCTGTGTTAATTTTGTTAAAATTACGAAGAGTTGTAAATGAGACGGTTTATCGAATGAAAAAAATAAAACCTTTGAGGTTCATTTTAGTAGTCAATTATTAGTCTATGAACAAATCTGTGATTTATAATTTTCATATGATTACTATTTGTATTATTTAATTGATAAAACAAGGAAAGTTAGAACGGAGTTTGAACTAGCGACTTGGTGGATGAAAGTTGTGTTCCTTAACTACCACACCAATGCTTCATAATAACATTAAAACTATAAAATGATGAGTGTAATGTATGATAAGTAACCAATTTTTGAACTAGACCTAACTGCTCATTGTCAGTATAGGTTTGTAGAGATTGTTTAATGTCACTGGAATCATGAGCTTATCTAACTTAGACAACCGTCAAAAGTCTAGAAGTACTGGGTGTCCGTTTTACCCTAATACGAGAATACTCGAAAGTACGCATTTAGTAACCAATGGAGCTAAAACGTGTTGGGTGTGGGGGTGGTATCTTTTTAAGACAATGGAAGACAGTCGCAAAATATCTTTATTTTTGTACCGTTGTAGTCACGTATGGTTCGTTCAGAGTTGCCAAGATTTATTTGGTCATTACGTAAAAATCAAGTTGATTTTCAAAACCTTCAAAAAGATCAAATCATCAATCATCACAGTGGTGCACCATTTACAACTAAGGTAAATAATTATGTATTTATTCATTTATTTGAAACTTTTCATCGAGTTCTAGTGTTCAACATTTTTTTTCTAAAGATCTGATTAATTTGTAAGTGGACAATGTTAAAACAATACTGGATCTATGTGAAATGCTCATTCATAAAATCTCTGATACTTATGTATTAAATTCTAATTTATAGTAACGTTTACAATTTCATTCAAGTGTATTATCTTCTCATCACTTTTTTTCAGTATTTCATTTATTTATTTGAACACATTGGTACAAGGGGGTACCGAATACATATGCGCCACACAATTCACTTGATTCGCGTGTGGACTATGATACTGCCCGGGTGCCCAAACCGAAGCAGGTGGTTTTCTTAGGAGGCCACACTCGGAACCTTCGACTTAAAGGTCTGATCCACAAGGCAGTAGAGCAACGTTGGGAGATGCAGTCTCATGGTAACCGGCAACGTACAATAGGTTCATACGCCATTTGTTTCCTTAGGGTCCTGGAACCCATGTGCACGAATGGTTTGGAGTCGGGGTTTTCCAATCCCCCTAGGTGGATCCTCCCTATCCACCAACCCAGTTAAAGTGCCGGACATTCTCTTTTCATCCTCTCAATTTCATAAACAACAATAATGCCGCGATAAGGTAGAGAGTAGGACTTCCATGGCAGTGGCTACATACGTGTGGCTAAATGAAAGCATTTCGAGAGGGAGAGCGAACCATCCCCACCCTCGGCCGTACCAAGGCATTTAGAGGCTGTATTACTTGGAATTTCTTAATAAACATGAAAAATATTCGTTATAAACTACTTTCCTGTATTAAGAAATTTACATTTTATATACGATAATTAATATCGTGTAAATAAATGAAAATGAATTGAAATTCCTCAACATATTTCAAAATTATTAATAAGTGAACTACTGGATGACGATTTGAATTAAACAACAAAAAGAGAGAAAAACTTGCAGCAAAAGGGAAAAAAACAATCGTGCAAAATGATCACTATACAAAACAAAACAAAACAAAAAAATAATGAGATTTATGGCACACCCAATTTATACTCGATTAAAATTAAGGTAATAAAAATTATTTATTTTATCGAATTTATTTCCATGTAATTTTCTTTCTATTATTTAGTATCTATGATCATTGACAAAATGCAGCAATATAGATTTATTCATTTATTATTTAAATCTTAATACTAGAAATTAGCTTTTAACTTTGATTTGTTTTTGAGTGTTTTCTTTAAATGAGCTTTTGTTAAAGTGTTCAATAGACAAAGAAAATATCTATTTATTATCTATTAATGAAATGGATATTTTAAAATATGAACACCCAATAATCTTAAACCGTAAATACAGAGTTAATAAGTTCATAATTCATTTTATTAGATATTTTACTTGAGATTCTATTTCTATTTATTCAGTTATTTATTATTTTTCATTATCATTACATTTTATTCGGTTCTATCTAGATCTTTCTTTCTATTAAAACTGATATAACTTGTATGTTTGTGCCCTAATAATGTAAAATGTATTGATACTGCCAATTAGAGATCAGTAAATTATCGACCGAACCAATGATGCATAAAACCCGTACGAGCAGTCTAGAGTCTTTACCGGTTCAGCTTCCCGCCTAGCCGTGCCTGTTAATTCCAGAACATCAACCTCAGCCTCTGCGATATAAATCTTGTATTTCAGACCACAACACATCATAAAATAGAAAAGAACATTTGTACAAGATATAGCCCAAAGTGGCTGTGAATGTGGGAGGTAGTAATTGATAGACTGGGTATAACTCAAGAATGGTAAATCGTATAGTAGTAGTTCATAGGTCAAAATAAAGCTTATGGTATGAGGAACACGAATATAAGTGGTTTAGTCACTTAACAATTATACAACAAAAATATATGTATAGTATTAGTCCAGAAATGGATTACAACAGTAACTATTCATTATTTTCATCGGGATATAACAGAAAAAAATTAATCATGTATTAAGTTAAATTTTAAAACAAGCAGTAAATCAATCTGCTTTACAGTGTGTCTTTTCACGGATAAATATTTATACATTTCAAGGAATTTTTAAATTAGACTAAATTGGCTACATAAATTCAGAGAGATAAATAGAACTAAGTAGCTATTCCGTTTTATTATCGGAATGTTGATTGCACAATGTTATTAACTAAATAAAATTGGAAATGTGAACGATCAAACTTTGATTAAGTGATTGATTAATATCTAAATTATCTCAAGACTTGAATACATTAGATCAAATCCTATATGAAAACGTTGATTTATACTAATCAGTGGTCAAAATGAAGACTTGTCAGCCGCCTAGTAATTATCAAGTAATTTTCAAGTTGTTGTTAGTTCATAATGGAAAACCACATTAGAATATTATGAAATCTCTACAAAATCACTTTAAATAAGTCTGACATTCTCAAAGTCTGCTTCCTGAAAATTTATTTGTGAATAAATATTCAAATTCAAATGGTCTAAATGGATTTGTCAAATATGTACATTCTAAATTAAGAAAGTGTAAATTATATATGAATCTATGGGCTGATGATAAATTAAAGTAAGAAGTGTTTCGGCTCGACCAATATTCTTCAATACATCTTGAAAATGAAAAGAATTATTGTAATTATGAGCCAATATTAATTCTTATTGCCAATGAAGTTATTACTCCTCATGAATAGACTTATTGAAATCTTACTCTCATTTAATTTGTTTAGTATATTGAACATTTCATTATGCCTTTTAAATAGCAATTTGATTTTTATAGTTAACATCAGGGACTGACCTTAGTTAGACAACTATTGAAAGTTGAGGAAAAATGGACAGCTGTTTTGTCCTAATATGGGATTTCTCAGAAATATGCACTCACGATTGCTTCACTGAGGATGGGACGGAGGACCTTTGATTTCGGGTTCGAGTTATAAACCTTTAAACCATCAAGCTGACATCCAATACTTCCTGGTTTTCAATAGTTGTTTCACTAATGTAAGTCCATGAATTTAACCATAAAATCCAAAAATATTCATAAACTCCCTATAGTAGTGATAATTTTGTATTACTTTATGGTATTATCGATCTAATTTAGGTTGGACTATGCAGACAATTACGTCAAATAAGATGGTTTGCTGACTGTAATGCTGATTACTTTTTCCCGCGTTGTTATATCCTCAGTGAAGAAGATGATCGGCAATCCTTTATATGTAAGTTCTATTATGAATGTACCATTACATTAAAAGTTATGACTTATCAACAAGTCAACGACATATTAATCTACCTTTGAAAATCTTATTCACATATAAGTTTATTTTTCAAACCATTAACTAAGCGTAAGTCTGTGTTGTTCATATGATCTTCACGTTAAATGAATAAAGCTGGAAATATAAAACAATAAATTTCAACTCAGTAGTTTGAAGATAATTTTGAAAATCTAAAGCCTAACTGTTTATTCTATACTAGTCTCAGAAATTTATGCATGACTGCCTTCTAACTAAGAGATTAAGAACCATACTTTCTTCAAACTATTGGTCAATATTAATTTTCTTGTCTCAGTTCGTACATTGAAAAATTAGGTAGCGACGGAAATCAATCAGTAGATATTTACATTCCATAAGGTAATCATTGTTGGTCAAATTTGATGCTACCATGACATGGATGATTGAATTCAACCTAAAAAACTTTTCGATATACCTAATGGATCTAATGTCCATTGAATTAGTTAATTTTGATAAGTTAGTGAGTTTTTTTTAAAATAAGTCACACAAATTATATCTGGCTAAATGGAAATCGCCTAACTTCTAAGCTAAGAACCCAATATATATATATATATATATATATATATATATATATATATATATATATATATATATATATATATATATATATATATATATATATATATATATATATATATAAGTTTAAGTTGTCCCTTCGTTGACATTGTAGATTGGATTTGATCAGTCTTTTAACATATATGTATTCTTAACCGATTGTTTCAATAATACCTTTACTTATAAGTTATAGTACATACGGATAGGTACGCTGGGTTCCATAGCTAATCGCGGTGAGACTATGATTTACAGATGAGCCAATCAGAGTTAGGATAATAGGTCTTGGATTTTAACGCGAAATTCATTCATCCATTTTGCTAAATGGCTTTTGTCATTTTACCTAATATCAGTTCGTGATGAAAACCCTAAATCTAATTCATAACCCTATAAATTATAATCCTATTTCTTAACACTGGTTTATAACTCCGATTTAGCCCTCATAAGTAGGCGAACATTCTCAAAGTCACCATAGCATCGTTCACAGGTCGTCCACAAATTATAGTCTCACACTAAACTCATTTCGACTACACTAAATACTGATTATTTATTTTATTATTATTAACTTTCACATTTTCATTGTTTTCCTATCGTAGATGATTTTAGATTAACAGCATGTATATCCATCGTAAAAATGGTTGCAAATCTAATTTCTGATGTTCATCAATTAGATTCAGTTATAATTCAATCCAAACCTAAAAATGTTTATGATATGAATAATTTAGGTGAGACTAATGAAAATGTAAATGATACAAAGGATTCTAACGTTCTGGAAATTGAAAGTTCCCCAAATATTGATTTATCCAGAGATAATACTTTATCTTTTTTAAATAACACAATATCCTATAAAAAAGTTTGGAATATAAGTGAGTTTATTGATTTGATAAGATCCTTGGATGATTTTTCACTTATCAACAATTTTTAATAACTGTCTATATCTTATGAAGATTTTTTAAAGAAAACATATTATCATAATTGTCTCCAATATTTTTGAAGTAAACTAATCAATCACATTTGATGAGTATATATTAGTATTTTATAAAAACTTCTCTCGATTGTTTTCAGTATTATAATTAGATCAGTTTAATGTGTTTAGAAATCGAGACGATAATAGAGATCTTATTGTTTTTAAAACGTTTAAACTAAGATATTTAACAACTTGACCTTCGTACTAATGTAAGAAATTCGATACATGAATTCGAATTGTCGGTTACCAGGGGAAAATTGTCTAATGTATCAATTAATTTGTTTTTGTGGATATATTAAAAAGTTACAATCATAATCTCGTATAAACTGTTCCCCTTAGATTTGAAAGATTTACACTTCTATGCACACTGTGTAATAAAAAGTTGTATTTGTTACAGATTAATATGTTTGATGAGAACAAAGTCGGTAGAAAATTTATTAATACCTTCTCATAGATTACCTCTTAGATGTATCTTTAACATATTCTGAATTCAGTCAATAAAGCTTCATTGCATTTCAATTGTTTCTTTATTAATTTTGATTAACGGCTGAGCAAATATTTTCAAAAATTTTAAAGACTATTTGTTATTTCATTAAATATTTAACATACATTCCTTTGAAACCTTAGATCATAGAATACAGATAATTTGAAAGTGATTTGTGGATATTATAGTAATTTAATAATTGAATTCATGAATCAGTTGAAGATAGACTCATATTAACAAAACTCTTAGTGTGGTTTCATTTTTTATGCATTCTATACAAAGTAAATAGGTCTGATATATCAGAAAGATAATATCATATTCCACATTGTTCTACAACAAATTTAAAGATTTTATGTTGAAATTTTAAACATACATAATAAAGATGATAAATTAACTTTCATCTTACCTAATGTATTTGATCTCATAACTACAACTTCTATTCATTGTAAACTATTTAATTACTTACATATTGACCGTGGATGTGCGCTGCTGACGAGTCCCATAACAGAACGAAATGGCCGTCCAGTACTTCCAGGTTTCCAAAGGTGGTTTAACATCAATCGGTTCATGATCTCAATCAAAAACTTAATAATCCCCACAACCCCTATACTAGTGATATTTATATAAATGATTAATAGATTAATTACACTTCTATCTTCTTTTTATTAGACTTCGAAATCTAAAAATACAATGAGTTTAAGTCTTTTTTTTCCATGAAACACATACACAGTTACTTTTTACATAAAATAAAATCATGTTGTATAACTAAAATTGAGTAAACAATATACAAGAACAATTTCTGTTTGCTAAAAAAAAAACAAAAGTAAAGATGAATTTCATCCGGCAACTCTCTAATTCAATCATTAAATAACAATAGTGTAAGGTTAAGTGTCAGATTAATGAATAGTTATTATTCAAGAGTTTCATCATTAAAAACTATTTACTTAAACAAACTCATCTTTCAACTGATATGTATTAATCTTTTTATCTATTGAAATACTGATCTCCTGCGCTATTTATATGAAGTTTAAAATGTTAAGCTTTAAAAGTGTAGTCTTCCTAATACATAGCACTTCTATCAATGGTATACGTACTATTTGACTGATGTTGTAAATGAAAAAAGTTAAGTATACCGTACGTATTCTGACGACGAAAGATTTGTATTTTTTATAATTAAACGAATTAATTTGACTGTTTTTTTTTCAAAGATAAACTACTTTATTGAGTGTTTTAACAATAACGTATTGACCTAAATCAATTCAGTTAACTCTCATTGTGTTATAGGTAAATAATAGACTTTATCTGAGTACTACGTATAACCTGCCACACAGCTTATTACAAATAACATCTAACTTCCAAATGATCCGTTGTTGTTGTAAGTTATGTAGAAATGTCAACAATTTCATTCGCTATGACTGGTATTTTTACATTGTTAGGATAGTCCTCATCTAGTTAATCATATTACGTACACAATAGTACGTGAGTTATCGAGCAACTTTGTTAAAGTTATATAATTCAATTTTTTTTAACTTTTTTTCTGCTTAATTCAGATTTACCACCAAGCGATTTGTTGAACAATTTTGAAATTCCAGATGAAATTATGGAATTTTCTATGTTTCAATGTCAAGAATTTCTTAAAACCAAGTATCATGACGATCTTGACAAGTCAAGTAAAGTATGTTTTTTGTTTATCTAAGAAAAACAATATTTTTAGAATACGTTCGAATACATGTATTAATGTCCCGTATAAAATCACCTAAATGAAAATCTCATACCACTGACATAATCTGACCTATTTTGATTTTGAACTAAACATTCTGGCTTGTTCTTTTTTACTATATAAACTTGTGTTGATTTACTTGGGTTATTTATTCATTTACTCTTGGAATGTGATTTAAACCAAGTTGTAGAATATCGGAAGTTCGAGGTTTTACTCTTTAAAGTATCACAAATATAATACTACTTATCATAGTTGTGTCTTTATGGACCGCTTGTTATCACGTAATTTATTCACCAATCAAAATACGACTTATTAGCCCTTGTACTGTACTAAACCAATGACGTTCGTTAGGTCTGATCAGTCTAGCGTCCTGTTGGTCCGTTGCTCACCTAACCCATCCAGTTGAGTCCAGAATGCCAACAACAGCCTCCACTATACGAATCATTTATTTCAGACATACTGGGTTTATATATCAACCAAACAGACCGCAACGCATCATAAAATAAGAAATAACATTCATACACAATAAAGTCAAAATGTGGCTGTGAACGTGGGAGACTGTAACTAATAAACTGAACATAACTTAAGAACAGTACATCGTATAATAATCGTATAATATAATCGATAGGTCAAAATGAAGCTTATAATAAAACGAATATAAATATACACAATCTAATTACTGGATAGTTATACCATAAAAATATATAGATAATATTAGTCCATTAAAAGGTCTCAGAAGTTACTCGTAATATAATATTCGCTAGGGTATAACAATAGTAATCATTGTTTCTGATATCAGTTCATCCAGGAGTTTGGGTCTCGTAAGCCAACACTCATTAGGGTACATAGTATCATTCCGCATCATTTATCGGTCGATATTCTATCCATTCGTTTTGACAAGTACAAACCTTGTCCATTCATCAAATCATCGAAATTCTCTACATTACTGTACAAACCCATTATCACTAGTATTAGTATCGTATCGTAAAGTAGAATTGAATCAAATCGAACTTGACTAAATGAATAGTTCAATTAATAATGATATTCCTGCTACATTAGTCTCTCACTTACCATGTGAACCAGAAATGGTACAAGATTTGTATTGGTTTCTCAAGAGTATTAGACCGTTATTCATTTTCGTGGCTTTATATTCATTCTGCTGAAATTACTTACTTACGCCTGTTACTCATTGTGAAGCATAGTCTGATAACCAGGATTCTCTTATTTACTCTGTCTTGGGATTCGATTGAAATAGCAATAGAATATTGATCCACTGAAGATAAATAGTTAGAGAGCGTACCATTAATCGACAGATCTATTAGAATTCCACAATATTATTTCTTTTATCAGATGGGTTTTGTGGATATTATATTAATTTCAGTAGTTGGGGTTATGAGTCAATTGAAGATAGACCAAAATGGAAAACCTATAAGCACTGCACGGCCGTTTTGTCCTATTTTGGGATTATTCAACAGTGTGCATCCACGGTCCCACCTCCCGAGAATCGGACCCAGGAACTATCAGTCTCGCGCGCGAACACTTAACCACTAGACCACTGAGCCGGCATCCGACGGTGTTAATGTTTAACTTCAATTAATCCACGAAATTGAGCGAAACATTCACCATTGTCTTCAGTGAGATACTATCTCACAACAGACCTGGTTGAATTCCACTGGTCACTACTCACTAGAACTCCAGGATATACCTCTTGAAGCCAGTCACCAGTGAGCATATGTTGATTCATACCAATGCTTCCAGGTTTTTCATAGTGGTCCGGCTTCAAATGACTCATGATCTTAACTATTGAAATTATTTCTTTTAAATTACATGCAAAAATATTATCTTACAGTTAGTTTAATACAATTTATGTATGCAAAATTGTTACTATAGTGAAAAGACAAAAAAAACTTGTTTCTATTGATGTCACTGATTTATAGGACAACATTGTTTTCTAGTTTCATTGTTCTATCAACTGATAAATTGAAAATTACGCGAAGAGTCCACATTTAGATAACGCCTAAATTAATTTTTTTCAAACAATATTATGTTCAGTGTACTATAGTTACTTTAAATGTTACCTTTTTTTGATTACATTAGTTCTGAAGTGTTCATTTAGATCAATTTATTAAAATATGTGATAACCTTCATAATAAATTGAATAGAATGATTTAGAAATGGTGTATATCTCTCAAGTTTAAAAACGTAATAAACATTTCTAAAATCGCTAAATACTGATATTTCCATTAAACAGTTGAATCGCATTTATAGGTTAAACTTTTACGCCATAGTTTTAAAAGATTCTGTGTTGGATAAATAAGGTTGTTTTTGAAACGCTAAAAACGCTAATTTACTCTTTATTACCATATAGTATAAATGGGATAGCTTGTTCTTTATTGATCGTGTCTTGTATGTTTTCAAAATCTTGAACAAAAGAAGAGTAACTGGTAAGTTGGTAATTCTCTGGAGTTTCGAAATTGAATGAAAATTTATAGGCAAATCAACATGCTAGCCAAATATGTAATTTAAGGGGGGAAATGGTAAGATCCTTAATAAGCATATGTTAGAATTGTATCCAAAGCAGTAGTTTCTAAATTTATAATCTAATCCTCTATCCTACAGTATGATGCAACAAATCTCTTGGATAATTAAAATATTGCTCCTTCAGAAATCTAATTTTACAGATCGAACATGCGGCTATTGAACCAACAGTTCATTGATGATTAGTTCAAATCTAATTAGGATGTTAAGTTACTTGATTCTATTACTTTCACATCCTTGTAAAAGTTCTCTGATCAAGTAAATTAAATTGGCTTACGTAGTAAATCATTTACTAACAATTACTATTTGGTCTTGTATCTCTTACGATTTCTACTTGGCTGATCTTATCGTATTAGTTATTTATATTTACATCCGTACAAAAAGACATGATGGCTAAGATGTTACGAAAAAATTTACTTTGTCAGTAGTTTTAAACCGGAAAACACTTAACTACTGCTACATTTGGTTTCTGCACATTAAATTACTTCACTGTATGTAAAGGACATTTTACGGAGTATTTAGAAAAAAAGATTAGATTTAATTTGAGTTACTTCTTCCATAAAGGGTGTGGTTCAAAGTTAATTACATCTAGACTCATAATTTAAGGTACAATGCGAAGTTTAAATCGTTTCTAAGTGGATTCCAACTTGAACTTATCCTTCAAGTGGACAATACTAAGAATAAACGTGCAGTATTCTAGGAGTGGTCGAACACATAATCTATACATCATAATAAGTGGATCGCTGTTATAGAGGTTACAGATTATACAACCCATACGATGTCAAGAATTAAAGGCTTCTTTCGAGACGTGTTCTGTGAAGGACAAATTGTAAGAGTCTTTAGTGGCTCTTAATCTGACTCCGTTTAGACTGCCTAACTGACTGTCAATGAAATATACAAGTCGCCAATCCTCGTATTTGACTTATTTAGTTTACATGTATATGTGGAAACACGTACATAAGAAGGAGCAATCGTGATTTGCAATTAAGGGTGGGTGAACACATACCAAAATGGTTGCAGGAACAAATGGATTCCAATGGTCAAATAAAATCACAGGATAGACATTTGATTGGCATCAAATAAGCGTTTGTAATGTTATACAAAAGCCTTCAACGACGTATACTAAGGTTTATTGAGGCCTTGGCTATACGGAAATTGAAACCCCTTTATGTGTTCAAAAACAATTTATCCTTACACTTAACCTACCCTGGTAATATTGATTTATTATCCAGAGCGGTATTCACATTTGTTTTTGTGTACTTTAATATTTTTTTCCTTTGTCATGGCTTACCCTTAATTTGTCTATTTGACCTTTTAATTTTCATATATAAATGTTCTTAAGTATATGTGTGATCCGATTGTTCGAAATGTATTGCGCAAATGTATCACATAATTCTGATAAACTTCGTCTTCTCATTGCATTATCGAAATTTATTTAATTACGTTATTCACTAACGCGATCTAGGCATACGATTACACATAGGATTTATGATATGAATATTTCGATAACAATCATTCGATAACTGTCATTTATACCATCCACCTGGAGTCAGATTTAGGGCCACTAAAAGTCCTTAATTCCCAAGTTTACTACTTAATATAACTTAGATAACACCTTATCATTTATGTTAAAATTCAAGTTAAGTGATTTAGTACCGAAACAAATCAATCCATATTTAGCCGTGTTGAGCTTTGACTGCTATTTTGAGAACCACTGGGCTACTTTGTCAAGTTCCATACTGGTGCAATTTTGTATGTTGTTCAGCTCATAAATTGAAAATGAATACACTACTTTAAGATCATCTAAGAGACTTACTTATACTTATATATTCATATCAACAATCCGAAAAGTGGTCATGCTTAAGACAAAATATACCGTTTAAAATCATATCATATTGAATCCAAGGTTACTTGCAAAATAAAACAATTTTTTAGTGTTGAATCAACTAATTTGAATGAGCTCAACCGGGTCTGTTGTGAGATAGTAACTCACTGTAGACAATGGTGGATGTGTCGCTCAATTTCCTGGATTAGTTGAAGTTAAACATTAACACCGTTAGATGCCGGCCGGCTCAGTGGTCTAGACGTTAAGTGTTCACGCGCGAGACTGATAGGTTTTGTTTTCGAATCCCGCTCAAGGGATCGTGGATGCACAGTGTTGAATAATCCCAAAATAGAACGAAACGGCAGTGCAGTGCTTATAGGTTTCCCATAGTGGGCTATCTTCAATCGACTCATGATCTCAACTATTAATTTGAATGAGTTTGTGTTTTAAATGAAATCGTAAGTTGAATGATCAGAATGACCATGAAAAGTGTATTGAAAAAAATTCCTCGTTCATTTATCAATATTTTAATATTGAAAATATATTCAAAATACCAGGTAAAAGCTTTTCTCACAATCTCTACACTGTGATTGTGGTAGTTGTATTTGCACCATTTTAACAGGAACCAAAATAATAAAATCAAATAATTCTTTAAACTAAAAGTATTTTAATTAGACCTGTATGTAGTTGAATACATTTTTTGCAAATGTGAAACTAGTGTGACATTTGGCTAATTTGATTTTTAATATCAAATACATGTTTACGAGAAGGAAGGACAAATCAATCCATAAAATGTATTGTGGTGTCTGCTTTGTTACTCAATCACCCCTGTAACCGTTATAATATAACGGTGTTTGAAATCAGAAGGCAATGGGAAGCGTCAACTATAGTTGTAACGGGGTTAAAATCATCATGTATAGTGGTGAGTATCTCCGCCTGTCAAGTGGAAGGCCCGGGTTTCTAACCCGAGTCCTCATGTGGGTCTCAAACCCGAGCCTTCCACATGACCGGTGGAGATACTCACCACTATACATGATGATCTTAACTCCGTTACAAGCGAATAGTGTAGATCTCAAAGCTATAAGCACATCAAGCGAATTTGAGGCGGAGAGGAGAATATGTATATTTGAGAAAATACAGAGGTAAATTTATAGTCAAATAGAATAAGGGCATAGCAAGGCAAAACAAAAGCTAATATTAGGATTTGAGTACATATATATATACATATATACATGGGAAGGAGAATGAATCATCGAGTGATATTTAAGCGATCAACATTTTAACTAGAGTCTGCCATGTAATCTAGTGATTACAACAATACAAATAAATATCCGAATTGCTACTGTTCTAATAACATTATCTGTTAATTAAGTTAAAGGGTTTAACCAAAATTAACCATAATCAAAATCGGTTGTAAGATAATTACCATAATATAATGCGTTCTCTTGATGAATATTTTGATCGTTTTTTCATGGATTATACTATATAAATGCTATATATATTATTTATCTGTTTACTATTGCAGCAATCATTTTCTTCTGAATATCCTTGGGATAAATTTTTATCTTGGTATTATCAAATAATAAAGTGAGCAATCGTTTACTTATTTTCCTTGTTACCAAATATAATTAAATTATCGATTGATCTTCAAGTATTTCTGTTATATTTTTTTCTCTATAAATCGTCCAAATTTTATAATTTTTAAAACATATAATGATTATCAACTTCATATATTAGTTCTATATGGATGTGTAAATGTACTAAATAGTTTTTGATACAACAGAATAATCATGGTTGAAACTTTCTGATCATTGACTTGGTTGGCTCGGTACAGTACGACTTACTTTAAGAAATCCATTCTATGGTTAGTCACAAAACCTTAAAATATTAGTTTTCGAAGATTATTGTTTTATTTTACGAATTGATTGGTTGCTAACTGTTATGTGTGAAACTAAAATGGTGTGGTTCGGCCCAAGGAAAAAGACAATCAATAAAGACATATGGAGACTTATTTAAAATTTAAACATTAGATTCAAAATATCATTTTAATACTCATTTTTACATTCAGATTGGATTTACAGACGCTGCTGGTTAGATTTGTATAATTAAGAATATTACATTCCTGAGAATATGGAAGTATAATCCAATGTTATGCTAAACGAATGTCCCAGGTTGTATCCCTTGTTAGGTAGTCAGTACATACAGATGAGAAGTTTAAAAACTAGCAGTTGCTGCTAGTTCGAGGTAAAATCCAACGTCAAAGTCAATACTTTTTCACGAACTACCTATCAAAATTATACAACTCTTATTAGTTTAACATGTGAATAAAAAATAAAAAATAGTTATTTATATGGCAAAAACCAAATGAACATAATCTATGTGTAAGTTTGATCCAGTAACTTAATTCATATTCAAAGAAAAAACATATTACTTATATATAGGTAGTTCATGGCATTCAATTATTTTCAAAGATAATTCAAGTTCAGGTGTTACTGTGAACACAGCCCATGGATGAACTCAAGGAAGCTCTAAGAAGCTCAGAAAGAGCCGAATATATTCCATCCAATCATCTTTTGGAAGAATATTTCAGAATTTCTACGTGTAGCTTCCCTATTGGAAGAATGCTAAAACCCTCTGTATGCGGATTGGATGACTATAAATGCCTGAGAGTTTTGTACCATATTTGACTCTGTTTGGAATAGCATTCCTTTCACTTGTCTTTTGTCTTCTCATTTGCGACTTAAAGGGTTCTAGCGTTTCAGTGCTCAAGTTATACGTGGTATATTAAAAATCTAAGCTCTAGATATAACACTATCATTTTAACTTCAAATTAGCTGTAAACTATGGTTACCATTGTAAAAAAAGTCTGTAAACAGTTTTAGTAGCATACATTTTTCAAGCATTACAGGACAATATAAACTTATATCATTCTTTATAATTAATGAACTGTTAATATTAATATCTGAATAATTTATATTATATTGAAAATATTTTAGAATGCCTCATTTACTTATGACAGCTAAACATTTATCATCTCATTGTCAATATCTTTGTAAATTACTTAAAAAATATTGTCCACAATTTGATATGGATGGATTGCGTAATGTTTGGATTGTAAAACCTGGTGCGAAATCAAGAGGGAGGGGTGAGTTATAGTCGTTGCTTTTCATTTATCTTCTAGTTTTATTGATTAGAAGGTTAGATTGTTCGCGTTATGCAACGAATATACCAGTAAAAATTCTCCAACTGTTCGTGATATATAATAACAATATCAAGTGGATGATTAGCTTTTTATGACAAAGCGTTTGTTGTTCAGACAGTATAAAGAATTATTTTATACGTAACATTCAGGCGAGTATTAGATTTCATGTAGTTTGAAGATATGTTATATCGTGGAGGAATATTCAAATTAGTCTATCCTGGAGAATTCGGTAGAGAGAGAAAAAACGAAAAAGAATGTGGACAACTAAAATGAATTCACATTTGATAACGGAAAGAATAAATCACGAAAATCTGACATTCGAAACTAGAAGACAATAGAGTACTGTTGCAAATGCATAACATATAACTTGCTTGAACACATGGTTTGTAATGACCTTGGAAAATATAGGATAAAACTGCATATTTATAGATAAGATTAGCAATGAAGGAAAATCAATTGTCAGTCAAAGGATAGGACACGAATCCCAGACTTATTGTGGACTTTTGACTCATAGTGTAAATTAAAAAGCAGGATTTTTGAAATCTTAGTAATTTGCCTAAATGATTGGATGGTGTATCTTATTTAAGATAGATGTTGCTTGTTTGGCGTTTATGATTACATTTACAAGCTCAGTTTTATTACACTAAAATTACTTTTTCCCTTTGAAATCAAACAAAATGTAAATTATAATAGGTCATGGAAATATTTTAGAAATTTAAGTGAAGCATATTCAACATTGAAATAATTTGTATTATTTCCATAAATTCATGCAAAATTACGTAATAAAATGAAACTGAATAATTTTTTACAAAAATGTAAAATTTATTCACTCAAAAACTTGACAATCTCCAAAACCCCTATACTGAAAATTCTCAGAGTTCTGGTGGGAAGCCGTGACTAGTGGGGCTAATCCATGTCGGGTAGAAACAGGTATCTACTTCAGTACAATGGAAGATGGTTGCGCAATTTCGTGGATTGGTTGATGCTAGACACTAACACCACTGGATGGCGGATGAGTGGTTCAGTAGGTTAAGCATTCGCGCGCCAGACTGAATTCCCTGAGTTCGAATCTTGCGAGGGGTCGGGATCGTGGATGCGCACTGCTGAGTAGCCCCATAATAGGATGAAACGGCCGTCCAGTGCTTCCAGGTTTCCAACGGTTGTATAACATCAATCAGTTCATGATCTCAATCAAAAACTTAGAAACCTCCACAACCACTATACTGGTAAAATTTATTATTCATTTATACAAAATACTTATTATTATATAATCTGGATTTTAATCATCACACGTCAATAATTACATAGGAAGTTTATACTAAACCCATTGTTTAATTCATTATTCATATATATTATTGTAGTAAAACAATAGATATTGTTAATGTGGAATAATTATTGATTTTTTGATCTACCTTTTGTACTTCTTAAAATGATTTTCCTTTTCACTTTCTTTTAAAAAAAATTAGTGACTTATCCATTCATGATTACTTAACCCCCCCCCATTAAACTATTTGAGTTTACAGTTTATTTTACTTATTCCTTTCAGGTATTGTTTGTCATGATCAATTAGATGATATTTTAAAAATTGTACAAGGTAGTGTATTTCTTACTGAAGCACGTTATATTGTACAAAAATATATTGAAAGACCATTATTAATATACAGAACAAAATTTGATATTAGACAATGGTTTCTTGTAACTGATTGGGCACCCTTAACTGTTTGGTGGTATCAAGATTGTTATTTAAGATTTTGTTCTCAGGAATTCACTTTGAATGATTTCAGTGAGTAAGTTTAATTTGTATATTAAATACATAAATTTGAAAGAAAAAACCTTTAATATTTATTTATTTCAACCATATAGAAATACTTAATTATGTCAGTCAAGAAAACCTCGCATACCTGTTATTTGATGAAAGTCATAGTCATTTTTAATAACTCCAAACATACTGAATGTAGTAATAATTTTAGATTTTTTTACGAGAAAAGATCTTTTTAAAGATGTTTCTTGAAGCGATAACTGTTAATCAACTGTTTATTGAAACAATCTTCTCACCTTTATACTACTATGATAATATATTAGAATACCGTTTAAATTTAGTCGGTGGCGGAAGCCGGCTATTATTAATAGCCCTCATACAAAACAATGTTGTTTATAGTCAAGCTTGTGCTTAGTAGATGAGATACAATAGATATTTCACATTTTAATTTTCCAGAATAGAGAATGTTATGTAGCTTAAAAGCTAAATGATAATGTCATGAGCTGACAAGGAACGGCTAGAACAAACTACGTACTCATCAAATCATCGAAAAATCTTTGTAATCTTGACAGTAGGCCTTTGATAATTTGATCATAAGTTCAGATGACACTCTCCACATGTCACCACCATTCGTGAGGGTATTCTCAGAGTTCTGATGAGAAGCCGTGACCAGTGGAGCTTATCCGTGTCGGGTAGAAACAGGTATCTATCTCAGTACAATGGAAGATGGTTGCTCAATTTCATGGATTGGCTAAGGTTAGACACTAACACCATTGGATGCCGGATCAGTGGTCCAGTAGGTTAAGCATTCGCGCGCGAGAGTGAAGGCGCTGGGTTCGAATCTCGTAGGGAGGGCGGGATCGTGGATACGCACTGATGAGGACTGTGCCTCCAGGTTTCCAACGGTGGTATAACATCAATCGGTTCATGATCTCAACCATTAATGGTAGTTGTAACAATAATGATAATAATTTTCAAATGCCTCTCTAAAAATTAATCTTTTGCCTGACTGAGTTTAAGGGGTGTATTTTTAGTTATTTTCAACCCAATTGTTAAATCATTTTATTATTAAGCACTTAATTTCAGTCCTAGGCTGTTTTGATTATGTTTCAATCAATGTCTCAGAACTTTCTTCTTTTCCATATAACAGTTGTATAGAATATTTTATTTGTTCTTCATATTACGTATGTTCATCCACCGCCACCCTCACAACACGATGTTTGCTTGTTCGGAGATAGGTTGAAAGAAAGCTAGGGACAGCTAATCAAAAACGTGTTGTCAGTCCATGAAGACACTGACCATTGAATTGAGACATGCTGGTTGTTACAGACTACGTGATTGGGGTTTGTGCAGTCATTGTAACCAACGTTTAAAGAAATTGATTGACATGGTTCGGAATCAGTAACATTGGCTTAAATGCAACCACCCTTTGTTAATCCTTAGATCATGAATTCTAGAATTATTTTGAACCTTTTGTCCCGAGAATTCATCCATACTTCTAATGTCACTAGTACTGTTACTACTTCCACTATTTCATTTATCTTGAAACGTTTATCTCAGTGTGGAAACTTGAACCGATGCACACATGTGCCAGATTCTACATTTCTGGTAACTGACTTTTAGTAGCTTTATTTGAATCTCTTCTAAATCATTCCGATATATATCCATATTAACTTTTAACCATATTTTTATAAGTATTTTAAACTTTATCAGTAATTTTGACACTAAAATATTATCAGGTTGTAATTAACAAGTGATAATGTGACAAAATAAAAAACGTCCGTGTTATTCAGTCCAAACAATCGCTCTATACTATTTTCGAGTTTACTGGAGGAAACTATGTATGCAAGTTGGTAGTTGGAGGTAACTGATAGTAAACTTTATAGGACTAAGGTATATTTACAATTGATTGATCCCTGAGTAGTGACTAATGTCATGTATATAACGTCTCTGATCGTGAAGTTGGGTGGTACAGAATTGAATCTACCAGGAAACCTCGAACTCTTCAAGATTACAGGTAAATCTTGCTGATGGGTTTCATATAAATGGAAACCTACGTCAAGTGTCTCCTGAAGACTACCCCCAATCAAAATTTTATATCGCATTATAGTGAACTGGATGTCAGGTCACTCAGACCAGTGATCGCAATGTAACTTGATCAGTAGAATTCGGATAGCACTAGTGAAGTACTTGTCGTGCATGATACTTGTTAGTGATTGGTAAATTGTAGAAACTACGTATCAGATAAAAAATCAAGTCATTAGAACTCCTACTATTTTACAATATTTAACCAAATGTTACTTAATAATTTTTATAATCACCCGTTTGATTTACTTCACATCTTTCTTTTTTCTGTTTAAAGATCAATACATCTTTGTAACAATTGCATACAACATAAATATAAAAATGGACTTAGATCATTGAACTTACCAGATGAAAATATGTGGACCTGGGAACAATTTCAAACTTGGCTAACGTGAGTTGTAAACTAAACATTAATATATAAGTTCCATTCCTAACACGACGAAAAGGACTCATTGTTCAGAAGAATGGTTTCTTTGGTGAAGTTACTTTCTCTGAGCTCAGTAGTTTAACTGTAAAACTCTCAGTATTTATTTAATGTTGGAAGAACAAATTATTATTCACTTATGAATAAATTGTAGTGGCTTGTTCCTACCTAACGTATTGTGCTAATGATGATGTCTAGGAAGATAATGAAAGCTTTGCAATCAAACCACCGTGCTCAAAAAACTCAAATCCGCTAAGAAAAATTTAGTTTTATTTTATATCAGTGATAAGTTTTTTACAAATGATTTATGAAGTTAATTCCAATTTATTAATCATATTAAAAAGTTCGTATTTATCTGTATATTTTACGATTTACTGTATTGTAAATATGTAGTGAATGACGTTACAAGTGGGGGACAATCGAATATATTAGAAAACAAAATTACATCACGTCTTAGTAAAATCTGAGAACCATACAGTGAATACTTTATTTGCAAAATATCAATCAGTCGTCTCAGACTTCATTGTTCCTGCATTCTCATACCGATTACTTTCTGTTCTCCTTCTTTCCTTTTCGACAATCTGCTGTCAGACATTCTAATTCTAACTACCATTACATACTACTCATGTCGATATAAATAGCACATATCGCAAACAGATGAGGCGTAAAACCGATTTCATTTTAATTATTAACTTTTGTTAAATAAATTTTAAATCAATAAAATTACTCTGCCACATAAGTAGGGAGGAGAGTTGATTGGTATGATAATTTCATCAAATAAGTGAAGTTAAAACATTATAACCATTGAATTCAAACCTGATCATATAATAATGAATGTAAAGTTGATCAACGAGACATAATAAGTGTTAATGTTTACTTAAGGATTGATTGTTCTTTTATACTCGTTTAGAAGTAAGTAGAATTTGATTTCTTTATAGTGATTTAATTGTTTGCGCAAAGTCATGTTGCTTATTAACCCATTAACTGAATATCGATGCTATTTCTGTGGTCGAACATCTAATCCTGTGTACAATCATGTGAAGGTTCGAACTAGAATGGTACATTTCTTCATTCCATCATAGATCTTCACTTATCATCAGCCCATGATAAATTTGCACCTTTCAATTATACAAATATCTAAAATACCGTATGAGAGGATTATACAATTTGATTTATTGAGATTCTATATATCATATATTATGTTCAGTTTGTTATGGAAGAGATTTGTAACCAAGACTCAAATTGAAACTTGATGAAATTTTAATCTATATATATTTCATTAAATTTAGATTGAATGATTTATTAATTAATCTATTCATCTTAAACAAACTTATAAGATCCAGATCAAAATTTACTTCAATTAAGTTTATCTCTGTATTATTTCATAGAATGTCATTGTCCATTTTATTTATCGGTATTTGAAGAAATCCGTTTTAACAAGTTTTAAGCATGTATCAATCTATAATTCAGTCACTTTATCTCACAAAGGTAATTTAAAGATATTATATTATACTTATGATTGATAACTAGGCTTCTTTTTATTTTATTTTGAACGATTCATTAAAATTAATTATTAGTTACAGTTCTTTATCTAAGCTAGTTAGTTTAACTATTGAGATTTCATTGAGACTACTTTATGCAAGCGCTGAATATGTTATCTAGAAGAATAATGAAATCTTTAAAATTAAATTATCCAGCTCAGAGAATTTAACGCCATTAAAATCATTCATTGGAGTCATAAATTTTCTGTATCATTTCAACAGTTCTTTATTTCACTGGTTGAAATCAAGAGTCAATTGAAGCTAGGCCACCATGGAAAACCTGGAAGCACTGGACGGCCGTTTCGTCCTGGTATGGGACCCCACAGCAGTACGTGCCCACGATCCCTCCCCCCGCGAGACCCGAACCCAGGACCTACCAGTCTCGCGCGCGAGAGCTTGGCCATTAGACGACTGAGCCGGCAACCAAGGGGTGTTAATGTCTAACTTCAACCAATCCACGAAGTAGTAATTATCATTCTTTTTCTAACATAAGTAATATTATTTTTTCAATAGTTGAAGCCGTGACCAGTGGAGTTCAACCAGGTCTGTTGTGAGATATCAGATCACTGAAGACAATGGTGTACGGTGGCTCTACTTCGTGGATTGGTTAGACATTAACACCGTTGGATGCCGGCTCAGTGGTCTAGTTGGTTAAGCGCCTGGCGCGAGACTGATAGGTCCTGGGTTCGAATGTCGCGCGGGGAGGGATCTTGGATGTGCACTGTTGGGGGGTCCCACATTGGGACGAAACGGCCTTCCAGGTTTCCCATGGTGGTCTGGCTTCAATTGACTCATGATTTCAACCAGTGAAATTTCTAAAAATCTCCACCAAACCCATTCCGATAATCAGTCCTTTATTTATTCATGATTATACTAAATACAGTGAACAAGGTCAACCAAATTTATGGACAGAGAAAATTCAACCAGCAATGAAAAATGCTGTTCTAAATGTACTTTTATCTTCACAGGAATCAATCGAACCTAGAAAAGTATGTAATTGATTGTTTATTATTTAATTTCAAGTTTAAAATATTGAGATTTACATTCACTTAACATTTAGAAATTAACAGATAGTCTCTTTAAACTATTTTCTTTAACAGTATTTTTTTATATTTCTCTTGATTATTATGCTTCAATACTTTAAATTATCTAAAATACATATCGTTCGCTAAATTACCTAACATTAAACTAAACTATTGAAGGTATCCATATCATGATTGAACTTGATAGTTTTAAATAAATTAGGTAAAGAGTTAATTGTTATATCTCAATGAGTAGAAACATTGTATTTCTGATGTTTCGTAACTTAATGTAAGCCACTTCTTTAGAGTATGAGTTTCTACTATTTCTATTATTTATTATTAAACTATTGAAGTTTATTAAGTTTACTACTTATTTTAATGTACAGTATTATTTGTTATGAAAAACAGGTTGTAAAACGTCATTAGGTGACCATCTTAAAATATAATATCGAATTATGATACAAGAATCTTGAACTATATAACTAAAATGATTTTGAAACAGTTTAGGTATGGATTCTATAAAAAAATTAATATTATTTTTTGATTGTTCAGATACTTAATCCCTAAGTATGATTCTAGATAAGAAATAATATGACAATATCTCTTCTAGTTCTGAATTTCTTTAAATCTTTTTGTTCTTCCGAACTTAGTCACTTGTTGTCTTTCATCCGGTGAGTTAGTGGTACTATAATTTGTTTTATTTCTTGTCGCGTCTCTTCACTCATTCCGAACATTTTGAGTAATGGCTCTAGTGCGGTGAAGACTTCCAGTTTTGACGCGTCACTGGTATTGTAGTTTAATCCCTTTCGGAGTAGGTGTTCTTCTATGTTTGTTAGTGTTTACTTTGACAAGTAGACCACACAGTTGTTTGTGTTTTCTTTTATGGGTGGTTTTGAGATCTTGATTAGTTTCTTCTTCAAGGTGTTCATTCTTTTTTCTCTGTGTTGTTTGCATGATATATCGATGGCTGTTGTCAAGATTTACAAATGTTCTGACTTGATTATCCTTTATAGCTTCATCTTTTGGTCCTCTATGACGTGTTGGCATTTATGGATCCTGTATTGTTCATCAATTACCATTAGGTGTACCATTTTTCTTCCACTTTGCTCAGCTATTCTCCATCCCACTGGACAGTTGATTAGAGGTCTGTATCTTACACTTGTCGGTAGAACATACTGACGAAGACACTCATAGAGAAAATACGATTGTTCTCGAGGGGAAGCCTGCCTTCTGGCTAAATTCTCCCATTTTTGAACAACAAGAAACGTACTACGCTCATACGATTTTGAGGTGGTGGAGATTTGTAGCTCAGGTGAATGATTTTGATAGAGTTTTGTTTTCTGAGATTAATGGTTTGGTCGTGGAGCTTCTACCTGAAGTTTGTGCTGATGATGTAGTTCATAAGAACGATGAAAGCTCCACGACCAAACTATCCAGCTTAGAGAACAAAACTCCATCGATAAAAAAATAATCTATTGATAATTTTCCGATGAATAAAAAAATTAAGTTTTTTTTAAAACTTTTTAGCGTTTCGTAACTGTACAAGCTACTTCTTCAGAGAATAAATCTCTCAAAAACTATGATTCATTATCTTGTGTCATTTTTCCTCTCCCAATTACACTTCGCTTATTTTGACTTATTTTAATTTACCTTTATCAAATAACGTTCAATTTTTCAATAATTCACTGAGTAGTTTCTAATAATTAACTAAATACAATTGAAGTAAATTCTGATAAAGATTTTTCTTTAAAATAAATTAAATCTCAGTCTCACAAATATGAAATAGTTCATCTTTTTCTAGCTTGTCAATGAATATCTTCCAAAGAATTAATTATTCAATTATATTAATTAATTTAAACGGACATCATCTGATGAATCATTGAAAATCAAGAACTAATAAATAGTTAGTTATAACAACCTTATTTTTGAGATCCTTAAGGCCGCTTACCGACAACTCTCCATAGAAATAAACCTATAAATTTTAAATATTATGTAGTGCACTATTTATAAATTTGTTTGTCATCAATTTGAGTTAGTTGTTGTTGAGGAGGTCCAGAAAATTTTTCAAAAACAGACAAAAAAAGGCTCTGGAAACTCTGAGAAACATCTTACCTGATTAGCATTCAATAGAATTTTTGCCAGAAACATCTAGAAAGTGACAAATCATATGTCCCGTTTCTGATTGAATGATTATCTACACTGTTGTACTGAAGGAGAACACAGGTGAGGACAATCGAATTATATTTATCACAACATTACAGAGTTATTTGGTAAAATAGAAAAACCATACTATAATACCTAATTTGCAAAAGGTTCAATAGTTGTCTCGGACTTCATTGTTCTTGCATCTCTATACTAATTGCTTTCTATTCTCGTCCTTCATTTCTTGATCTTCCTCATCTTCCGCTGCCAGACATAACATTCCTGACTCGCGTTATATACTATTTATGTCCATATAAGTAGCACGCACAACGCTGTTACTATGTTTAGTAGCGTTCCAGAAATTTTCGGAACCCCAAAAGCCAACTAAAATACCCTAAATACCCTAAATTTTCTGTACATAAATAAATCTTTGAAGTTAAGCATTTCTTTTATATTTCATGCCTTTTCTCTCGTGTTCAAGTTGTTGTATAGATTTAGCCTGGAAGTTACTAGGAGAGCTTAAGAAATCAAATCTAGTATTCAATTAACAATAAATATTTTAATAATATATAGTTTATATTTATTTAGTTTACATTTTGAATTTAATATTGTTGCATATTATTTTATTATTTATAATAAATTATCGTTCTTTTTTTGTTGTTGTTGTTGTTGTTTTAAACAACAAAACAGAGTACTCAATATCATATTAATGGACTTATAAGGTCATTTTTATTAATGAATTAATTAGTGTTTATATTTGTTTGTTTGTTTGTTTCTCTTTCAAAATTCACTACTCATTATACCGATTAATAACCCCTTGTGATAATAATTAATTAATTAATTAATGAATAAGCAAATTAAATGTAATTCATTTTATTAGTTATTTTAATTCTTTTTTTTATTCTTTTAATATAATTAAAATAATGAAAAAATTATTAAATGTTTATTTGTATATCATTAATTTAACATATTACTATGGTTACTATAAGGTTAGTTGATTCGAGTAAAATTTAGTGTTATTCATATTTAAATGATATTCTGACCTAATGTTATAAATAATTTTGTTAAGTTTTTAAAGTACAACTCTTGTTTTAAGCTTCAGTGTTATCTTTTTTGGTTGAATCAAAGTATAGAGAATATAGTCTTGAAATAACAATCTATTTAGTGAAGATGGGGTAAAGCAAGTGGCTATAAGAACTCAGTAGCTAAGTGGATAACACGATGTCGTTTGAAGTGAACACTACTGGGTTCGAGTGCCAGAGTGGACATCAACTCTGACATGCAGGTATATTCGGCTGACGAGTCCTAAATAGAGAGAAATGCACGTCCTGGATTCCACTGTTAGCCACTATCCATCTTTGCTTATAAGACTTGTGACTTCAGGTTTTATCGAGGCAGTCCGCGTAGTATGCACATATGCCAACAAGAGACTGATCAACTGCAGTCCTAAATAACAATGGGAAGATACAAGTAAACAACACTAAGTGGATCTATTTAATGTTTGACAGACTTATCAATTAAAAATAATTATATATATATATATATATATATATATATATATATATATATATATATATATATATATATATATATATATATATATATATATAAAGTTTATTTCATTTATTTCGTTTGTTTACTTATAACTAATATAAATTAGCGCATGGTATAACTCTTCAGAGTAATGCAATTAAATGTGTGGATTATGTCAGAAATGGATTCTTTAGGTTGGGAGTTGACAAAACATATACCTGGGTATATGTGACGGACATTTTGCCTGCACTACAGGTGGTGCATCTTAAGAAAAACTAAATTAGCCAATGTATACATTCCAAGGTTTTATAAGGTACCCATATATGCTTCCCCATATGGATGAAGACTGATGAGGACATAGTTAAGCAAAATAATCCTTGTGAATAACCATTAATAACTAAATGATCTTTATCAACAAAATATTTCTTTGTAACATATTTCACACGTCTATCTCCAATTTCCTTTACAATTATCCTACTGAATAAATGCTTTCTTATAAGTTTTATTAGCTTATTTAAGTATTTTACCAGGTAAACACACCACGCTCATACAGAAATTAATTTTTTGGGAATCTAAACCAAATCTTCAGGATAAAATAAGTGTATTCGATTTCTTACAGCGTTTTATATTTTACTAGTGAAATAGATGTACGTTCTAGCTTGACGAAAATTTATGTTGTCATCAATGCTTCGTTTCAATACATGAAGTCAATAAGCCTAGTGCAAACATCTTTTTAGTGTGGTCATGAATGTTGAATGTATTTCTATAATGAGTGGGATCATCGAGACTTTTGCTCTCACGAACATAAATTGAAAGTATATATTTGAATGTTAGGTGGCTAGAAGCAATCAGTCAGTGATAGTCAACTTGGGTTTCATGTTATTTAAGAATGTTAGGTAGTCAGAGGTAGTCAAGAGGAAAACTTGGGCTTATGTGTCGTGCCAGTCGGTACTAATTTACAAGGTTTAGCTGCAACCTTTAGGGAGCTAATGCTTTCTCGTGAATCCGAACCTTAGTCACCCAGCTGAAATGCTTCCACTAGACTATTTGAGATCCAAACGATATCCTTCCGATTATCTCTAACTACCTAACATTTCAACATAGTGCAAACAAAGTTGAGTTCCGCAGACGAGTGCCCACATTGTAAGTTGGTGGATAGTATTTATTCAGTACTGAAGGACTAGATGAATATGACGTAGGTCACTACTCAGTAACCAATCAATTGCAAATGAGAATTCTAAGAAAGATATATCTATATTCTTAAGGGTAATGGTTCCTTACAGCATATCACTTGCAGAATGAATAACTCAGGAGTATCATCTCTAATCGTGACTTTGTATGAAATGGGTTTGAATTTCATAATGAATGTCAACTGATGTAGTGAGCCACTCAGAAGTAGAAAAATGAGGTCACTTGATGACAGTCAGAAGTGACCTGAGGGACACCTGCATATCATTAGCTAAGAAGTTGAGTGATTTTTTAAAGGGTATATATATATGATTATTTGCGCATACTGCTTGGTAGCCCACTAGACTTCCTCTTCCCCTTTTGTCTTCTCGTTCAAGTGGTTAGTTAGGGAGGGACCAGTGCGTATCAGGTTTTGTATCAAAATCAGATGTCGGACACTTCACATCATAACATCAACTCTCTAAATAATGTAGATAAATCATTTTTAACGAATACTAGCTAGTTGGAAGCTAAAATCTATGGCTCCCTGTCAATTGTCACCAATGATCTAACTTCAAAGTAAGTGTAACTAAGTTTGTGAAATTTCAACCAACACCGAAGACTAGTTAACATTACATTAGTCACTACTAAGTAGAAATAATCAGTTTATCATAATTTTAATGTCACAACAACTTGTTCTTCTTAGTATTATTGTCCATTTTTGTTGATTTTTTCGATATTTTAATATTTTAGAATTGTTTTGGTCTATATGGAGCAGATTTCCTGTTAACTGACAATGATTACAGAATATGGCTTATAGAAATTAATTCAAGTCCATGTATGTCACCGAGTACATCTGTTACAGCTGTATACACTGCTAGTGTATTAGAAGATACGTTGAAAGGTAATTTATGCCTGCTTTTTCTTTATTCTTCTATTTCGTTTGATAAATGAGAATAAATAATCCATAGAGGAATCAAGTCTTTATGATTAACAAATTCTTTATTTTTTACAGAATTATTTTTATTAAAACTACGTTAAGTACGAAGAAATCCATAAATTCTATGTAAAGCCCCATCTGAAAATGAATTCTATTACAAATCAAATTACTTCAAATAATGTTTGCTTGACTCAATGAAACACTAAATATTCAACTTATCCCATACGTACCAGGTAGTCAGATTGTTATATATAACTTGAATAGCATTTTCACGAACTGGAAATTTTTGAAATTTAAGGATAAGATTAAAAAACGATTAATAAATCTTTTTTGTCTTCTAATTAGGTGGATACAATGAGAATGAAAATAACTGTGAGAATTATGTCATCAGTCTAGATCTCTTAAATATATTAAGTTAGCAATTCGAAATTTAAGTTTTTAAACAAGCCTTCAAATGTTTGTATGATACATCATGGCTTAGGTTATTCCCAATGTTCTCAATGTTTATTAAGTTTGTTATTGACCAGTACTTTCGTCTACTTTTCAGTTCACTAAATGGGCGATTGCTGCATTTTCAAGAGTAATTTTCATGAATGATTTTCTTTTAAACGTCTGAAGGTATCCACAACTGTCCGCTATGAATATGTTCAGTATAGTGCAGCCTCGTGTAGCTGACTAAAAACACAAATACAATAAAACGTTCAGGGTTGAAATGGATTTTTTTACTAAAAATATTCTCTAAAATGTAGCACTCATCCACTAAATGATTGGAAAGTAGATGAAATTGTTAGGTACAACTCAGTAGACATTGAAGACGTTGTATATAACTTCAGCTCACATAAAAACTTTAGTTTTCATCTGATTCAACAGATCACTAAATGATACGTTCTCATTGATGAGGAAAAAATTATTATTATGATCTTTAACAGTGTTATTAATTAATTCCTTTTTCAGTTCTTGATGAATCACTAGATGCACTGAAACATTTCATTTTCAGTCAAATTCCTCGCCTATTTTCTCACTATTTTTTATACTATATTGCTGAATGATATGATAATTTTTAGATTCTTTTAATCTCATTCAATGTCTTCGCTTAAATATTGGCTAATTTTCATCTCACAAAAATTGTTTCAGTTAAAAATAGAGTCAAAAAATTGAACCGTTTTGTTTTCATTTCCTAATATTAATAAAATATACAACGTAAATACTACCGAAAATTGAACATTGATCAATTGTATTGTAGTGAACAAGAACACTAGTGGGAACAATCGAATATATTTAACAAAAAATTACAGGACTTGTTAATAAAATCTAACAATCACAAAGTAAATGCTTAATTTGCAAAATGTCTCAAAATGACTCAGACTTCATTGTTCTTGCATTTTCATACAAATTGCATCCTGTTTCTATTCATTACTATTCGATCCTCTTGTCTCTCTGCTGTCAGACCTTCTGTTCACGACTGACATCAGATACTACTCATGTCAATATAAGTAGTACACATCACAGTATTATTTTTGCTTTCTTACTTATCTTACTTGATTTATGATGACGATGTTTACAAAGTGTTCAGGTATGTTTACCACTCAGTTACAAAAATTAACAAGGTAATAATATAAATATTAAGAAGTAAAAACATTGAGATTGAATGTTGTTAAAGGTGTATAGGAGATCACAGATTCCCACTTGATTGCACCATAAAAAGATATTTCATCTTAAGGTACCTTAAAATTGGCTGATTTATATGACTGTAGAGTCTAAAGAAAAGTTGATTGATGCTATTAGCTCACGGCCTTTTGTGAGCAATTTTTCGGAGTACAAACTCCATACTTTTCAAACCTTTCTGTCGGTACTGGAAATTCTTGTGAGAACGTAATGGTGATTATTCTAAACACATACACCCTTTAGCTTTTTATGGGAAGTATCGCTGTAGTTGTTAGTTATTTGTGGGAAATATCTCATCACTACCGCATACTACTACAGATGGCAGTAAGACCTCGCCATCGAACCTTAAATTACCTACTTTTGATTTTAAGATTTCATGCAACTTCTCTGGTTAAGTTAAGCCTAACTGAACAAACGTTTTAGAGAATATAGTTCGATTAGATCCTCATGACAGACTAGCCTAACCACCGGGTCAACGTGGTAATTCACAGTACTTTTGTAACCATAAAGTGTATCCGTACTAAAAATATAAAACAAATTAGTGTTACTTACGTCGAAATTTTCACTAGGTTTTGTAAAATTTTGAGCTTTCATCAGTATTTACTAACTTATTATCATTAACTTAAAAATAGAAGTCGTTTACAAGATAATAGCACATACTATTACCATGATCTTAAGTGTTCTACTGACCTGAACTTCAAACACAAAAATACCTTGACCTCACCCCTCCTAGTTTTAATCGAATATCAATCATGTTCTCTATTAATGATAGCTAAACCTCTATAATTTGATAATAGTCTTTAAAACTGATTACAAACTAGTAGCATGTAGAAAAATACAGTGACCATCTTGCTTTATATAACTTTTACTAGCTTCACACAACAATTACGTGAAGTCATTGATTTGATTTTCTTATCGAACAAATTAGCAAATATCCTCTCTGACTGTTAATCATTAGATTCTTATCGCTTTAAAACTTCATTCATTGAAATATCGTAACTATTTATGTAACACTTGATTTGGATGTCTATTAACTAATAATGTAACAGTTCATATATTATATTTAATGCTGGGCCACCGAAATTATTGCACTACTTCTGTTTTAAGGTTTGAATTTTCTCTTTATCGATATTATGGGCCTTTCTAATTGATCAATATTTATTTGCGTGTATGCACCCTGAACGAATTTCTTAATTAAAGCCTTTAGTCAGATTTTGTAGCTAATAATGGAATCCAAGATGCTTCTCTCTTTAGCACTATCTATATTATCCATGAAGACTACTTCTTTCAGTTCTTTAAATTGAGGAAAAATAATCGACACCTGTTTTATCAAGTAATTCACTTTAAAATAGTTGATTCGTCTTCTGAACAGTAGAACAAATAAATTTTACTATAGAGTGAGCATAGAAAGGGATTGAGGTTTTACTATACCATTCTCTCTTGAGCTGTACTCCTGAATTAATTAAGTTTTTTTAGTTATGTTTTGAAAAATCACTGTGTTGGACACATTGAACTAGTCAAATTATATTTTCTTATTATTTTATTTTAACCAGTTGTTTTAGATAGAAAATACAATCGTAACTCGGATGTTGGACGTTTTGAATTACTGTATAGACAACCGTTTCATAATCCATCTAATATGTACACTGGTATGGAACTTTATGTAATTGGATCAAAAATAAGTAAACCACAGTTGGAAAATACATCTATTCTACGTTGTTTTAATAAAGCGACACTTGATTTCAATGGTCAGTCATTATCAAATCCAAAAGTCAATGTTATGTCAAAAATTATTAGAGATAAAAAGAATACATCTCCTATTGTCATGTTAGTTCATAAGTGAAGTTATGATAAGTTTATTTATTTACTTAACTGGATTATTTGACACTGATTGATTGCTAAATATTATCACAATGGGGTTTGTGGAGATTGTAATAATTATAATTGTTGAATTCATGATTCAATCGAAGATAGACCACCATTGGAAACCTGGAAGCACTGGACAGCCGGTTCGTCCTAATATGAGACTCCTCAGCAGTGCGCATCCACGATCCCGCTCGAGGGATTCGAATCCAGGACCTTCTCTCTCGCGCGCGAACTCTTAACTTTCAGACCACTGGGCCGGCATCCGATGGTATCAAATCTAACCGCAATAGATCCATGATCTTGAGCAACCCTTATTCATTGTCTGAGGTATATAACTGTCTCACACCCGACATGGATTGGACTTCGTTTGTCACAGCTTCTCACTGGAACTCCAAGAAATCCAACTTAAAGCTAGTCACTAGTGAGCACATGATTATTGCTAGAATGAGGACCAACTCCTTAACTCAACTATTAAAATTACTACAATCTCCATAACTCCACATTCTGATAAATTCGGATTGACGACATATGTTTGTAAGGCATTATTAGGAAAAAGTGCACTAAGATTTTGTTTTGAAACCATTACAACTTGTAGAATAGACAAAGTCACATTGTTATAGTGTGTTGTATTATCGGTTACCAAGCCTTTTCGGGAGAGATTCTTTAATACAAAAAATGAATGACTTTCAGATAAGTAAGTAGGGAAATACAAACATATAGAATGGCTCAGTTATGACGTTTCATCCTACCTGCAAATGTATATAGCTGAGTGAGCATGATAGTCCTTTCGATTTAAGAATATAACAAACAATCTCTTCCTTAGTTTAAAAGGGAATACTGTTCACTAACCTGTTGATTGATCTTGGAGATTGCTTCTGTCGAGTATTATTATGAAGACAGGATAAAGAATGTCCATTTTATTGAGCTGGAAAGTTAAGCATTAAACAAATACATTTTTATCATGTCTAATCATACATATATAAAATCTTAGTGCGAAGTCCCAGTTGTATAAAGCCGTGATATGGACTATCAACAAGTGGAAGATACATGTTGATGGTCTGCTTATCGCGACCTTAAACCAGCAAGACTCTTATAATAATGAATCCCAAACACCATAACGTGCCAGAAAAGTGTCGATATTTAGATACACCTAGCTAGCTTATGTAAAGTGTAGTCGATAAACGAACCCAGCAATGACGGAATTAAACACCCATCACCATATTGAATCCCTTTGACCTTGTTTGACTATGTCATGTACATGCACCAATCATAATCTTTCATATCTTTCGTAAACGGTGTTAGGTTTGTTGACTCATTTTTCCTGTCCTCCAGCTACTTCTCGGTAGTTGATTTATGTCGCTCTTTTCCCCTGTTTAGTAGACTTAATAATTGTACTTTTTTGTATACTAACGATGTTAATTTACGTTTTAGAAACAGATAAGGTTTATCGAGCGAAATAACTTACTTGTTCTACCTTTGGCTAAGCTAAGACTGTGTTTGACAGTCTTGGGATTATTTTGTAATCACTTCTGTAGAAAATCACTTTGTACAGCTTGGAATCCTGAACTGAATATACTCTACCATCTGAGTATACCACTTTCCCCAAGTTTACCACCTCTTTATTAGTTACTTTAAACTATACTACTAACAAAATATAAATAGTTTAATTTTATTTACTGAATAATCATTTACATTTTGTTTTGATATTCTAGAAGGCAAATGAAATCACAAACACGAAAAGAAATTAAGCCATCAAATATAGGTCATGAGTATGCATGCGCGGAAATAGTTAAAGGAATGAACAGTTTATTACCACCTATGAAGTGTGGAAAATTTTCAAGTGATAATCAGTCAACTGTGAACACAAATACTGATAATCCAGTCAAACATTTACAATCAGTAAAGGAAACAAGAAAAGATTCACGATCAAAATCTTGCAAATATGTAAATGAAATGAAAATTTGCAATGTTGCTACTCTTTCAAATGTTGTAAAAACTATTGGGTCTTTGACTGGCTTGGAATCTGGTGTTTGTCTATCAAAATACAACGATGATATTTCACATGATGACAATCTTTTAAAATCAAGCCGATCGGAGTATTGTCTAAAATCATCTCTAGAAGAATTGGTTAAATCGAGATCACTCATAAATTCCCCTGTTATTTCAAATGTTAAAGATTCCTCTACATCCAACTTTAATCAATCGAGGCTACAACAAGTGAATAAAGGTGAGCTGAATCAGTATACTGAATATGAAACATACACTAACACAAATCTATATTCTTCTCACAAAAGTATACATAGTAAAAATAAAAATTCACAGTCATCATCATTATTATTACCTAAAATAGACAAAGGTCGAAATCCAGATTCTAGTATAAAACTAGTTAGTTTGAATTTAAATCGACCGAGATCATTGAATAAAATAAAGAGATTATCATTAAAACTTGAACATCGAAACAAAAAGTTGAATGTTAACACAATACATGATACAACTTCACCTAATTCCAATTCAACACAAACTAATTCAATTAGATATTTATATGAAAAGAAACTATCCAAAGGACAATTACATTTTGAAGAGATTATAACAAACAATGATAAGCAACTGATTAATAGACCAAATAAATTGCCAACAATTGGTAAAATCAAACCTGAATCTTCACATCAATCATTAAATTATCAGTCTACACTTACTATAGATCAACTAGATACAAATTATATGCAGAAAATGCCTACTTATAAAAATTATGTTGATAAAATCAAATTGAACATTTTACAATTTAATGAAGGAGACAATCATGTGAAGCATATTAGTCATGAAAAATCAAATCATAATAAGTTGTATAAACATTTACAGAAAAGATGTATCATTCTGCGTAAAATGAAAAAAATTAGAAAGTCACCAGCAGTACAAAGAAAAGTATCAACTTGTCAATCACAGTCAAAACTTTCTAAAGTTTTAATAGTAAATCAAAGATCAGCAGATTTAACTATAAAAGATAATTCTTCAATGAATTTAGATGAAGTTTACAAATGCCGAAAATTGAAGGACAGTAGTGATAATAATACTACTAATGATAAGAATACTGATCGTAATAATAAACTTAATGCTAGTAACTGTGATTCCGGAATTAATTCTGGTGACAGTATCACTTTGGATAGTAATGATCCAAATAAAATCTCAAAGATCATTACTTCTTCACCAAAATCGTCTCTCAAGCAAAGTTCCACAGATTCAGGATTTGATGATGAGATATCAACTCAATCGAAAACCTTTTTACCACTAGATAATTTTTCGGCAGTTATTACCAACAGGAATAATAGTGATAAAAAATCGATATCTAATGATATTTCACTTTGTAGGTTTATTCATTCTAGTAAAATGTTCGTTAATTGTCGTAACACAGATGACATAAAATTTTACAGGTATAATATTAATGGTAAATTTAATCTGAAGTTTCTTTCTCGTATTACAAACGATTAATTAGTTGAAAGTAACATGCTGATCGGTTTATTGCAGTCTAGTGATGATCCATACTTAATTGTCACCTTATCTCATTTTTTTTCTGTTCTGAATTGATTAATTACTTTTATTCTCAGTTGTCTACGAAGTTTTAACTTCATTCACTACTGTGAAATCCTTAGTTTACTGTGATAACCTTCAACTTTGGGATGAATTATTAAACGATTGTTTTGACTGATATTTATTTTTCACGAACCATTTAAACTTACATCTTGTCATTTTATTTTAAGTGTTCCATAAGTATTTCTTCAATGAATATGTAAATCATTTAGACTTATTTTTCATTTATCAGATATTTTATTTGTTTCACAAATCGATAAATTGATTGAAAATCGGGAATGATGAAACGTTTTTTTTAGCTGAATTCAACTGGGTATTTTAGTTATTACCATGATGTTACAAATAGACATTATTTACGAGTATTGACATTTTCAGTTTGGACCAATAGATGTTGACGGGACAGTTATTTATGCTACGTAGGTATCTCGTCGCTTTTTCATTAAGGAATGGTACATTTTGTTTTATAGGAGTTTTAGCCCTGACTAATCTATTTTACACAAAAATGTCAGAATTTGTTTAATATTCTAAACTCCCAGGGTGAGAAAGACGAAGTGGATCCTGTATGTAGATAGAATTTCTGGGGATATTGATCAATCAGTTTAATAGCAGATTACATTAAATAACCTACTACTAAATGGGCATAATCTAACCCCCCCCCTCTGCAATCAATATCAGAATTTAGATTATTAACTTCATGATGGAAAACATTTTATCTTTTTTTGCAACTGCATGTACTTGACATGCATTGTTAATGGGTTAACTATTGACAGTGTTGTGAAAAAAAACGTCAAATCAGTTAGCAAAGACAAGTCTCTTCGCCTATAAAGTTAATTCCTAACCATAAAATTGATTATATCTACATATATTTACTTCTTAAAAATCTTTAAAGATATTTTGTGTCCATACCATATTGAAAATGACGATACTGACCAATCAGTATCTATAAGGGAGGCTCTAACATCGAATACCAAATATTTCGCAATCTTACGATAGATAGACCTTAAATGAGAAACTAACCTGAAATTCCCCAAACCATATGAAAGGTGCCTACCTAATACAGTGAAAAATAATCGAGTGACATCGCTGACTTGAGAGCGAATGGATTTTGGTTCAGTTGTCTAAAGGTCAAACGTCCGAATGAGAGGTCGGAGGTTCGACCTCTGGTTACGGGATTGTGACTGTGCACCATTGAGGAGTTCCTACTTAGGATAGAACAGCCGTCCATTGCTTCCATGTTTCCAATGGTTGTTTAACTTAGACAGGTTCATGCTTTCCACAAAATCCGCCAATCCCCACAACTCCATGCTGACTAAAAGTCAATTTAGCACGGATACAGAAGGCTTGACTAGCTGTTACCAACTTGCGTCATTTATGGCGTAGGCCAGATAACCAAAGGACGCGTTTACTGAGCAGCAGTTCGTTCCGTCCTACTTTATGGCAGTGAAACATGGCCGATAAGAGTAGAGGATATTCGTAGGTTACTAGTATTTGATCATAGGTGTATTCGAAATATTGCTCGTATATCTTAAGACCATCGAGTAGGTAACGCACTTGTTAGGAAATGGGTACTAGGTAAGGATGGCGAATCAATTGGTGAAGTAGTCAAACTTCATCAGTTGAGATGGCTGAGACACGTGTTACGTATGCCCAGCCACCGACTGCCCCGACGTGCGATGTTTTATGGTATAGGAGTAGGTTGTAAGAAAGCTGGGGGTGGCCAGACCAAAACATGGCACAAGTCCATGAAGTCACTGACAAGTGGTCTGAGTCATGTTGGTAGTTGTAAACTACTTGGTTGGGGACCACGAGATGATAACACCCGATGATTAGAGACCCTGAATGACATGGCTCAAAATCGTTTGCAATTGTGCAAGTGCATCCACTCTTTGTGTTCTCCCAAATTCAAATCTGAATTCTTCATATCCCTTATTTTCTTTCCGAATTTATTTCACTGTATTATACTCCTTGAATAACATCTTCAGATCCTAATTTTTCTGATTACAGCATATAATTTTACTACATCTAGTACTACGGGATTTGAATCGACCATTCCATCTCTGTACTAATGTGGTATGGCAACTCGAACTGATGTACATACGCAGGAAGTTCTACGTTGTTACTTACTGACTGACTGAAAAGTCAGTTTCCGTTTCTCTTTCAAATAATCTGTTTTCACGCCTTGATATGAAACAATCTGATCAAAAATTGTTTAGAAATCGTACAATCAAACTCAGTTATTATATAACATATCCTTAATTTTCAATGCATAATATAAAATAGTTCTTTAGATGAAAAACAATGTTATCAGCCGTTTTCATATTATAATTTTAACTACTTGTGAGTAACTCATATTTTCGATAGGAATTTCATTGCCTTATAGAAAATGGAGAGATCATAATGTATGAAAGAGCTTTGGGCGACGCCACAGGGACCCTGAGAATGTCCACCTACTTACTAGGATTAAAAAGTAGGGTTATAAATTATTGTAAGGAGTTAGAATTACAATTTACAGTTTGACAGTAGGATTAGGAATAGGAGTTAGGGTTTTCATCACGATCTGAAATGAGCTTTAATGCCAAAATGTCATTTAGCCATATGGATGAGTGAATTTTGCTCGAAGATCCAAGACTCCCTATCTTTAATTTAACTGATTTGCTCACAGCTTACGGTCTCGCCGAAAACTTACTAATTTTACATGTTACTAATTAAGCGACTGTAAGTGTTTTCCAATTCACAAATACCAATTATATAGAATTTAACATGAAGTTTCTCAAATCATTATTTGTATTGTTAACGAAACTAGATGAAAAATCACAAAAGAAATTCAAATTATATTTGAAAGATTGTTGTTAATCATGAAAATATTGAATGTTTAAAGTAAATCTTAGTCGTTTCTTTTCTTAATTTGTTTATATTACTGGTTTTATGTTATTTAAGTGACTAGTAATACAACATCAAATGTCTCAACTATGAAAAATGTAACGCAAGATAATATAGCATACGCGCCAAATTCAAATATTTCACCAATTATAAACAATCCAACGAATCAATTTCCATCATCATATCGCCGACCATTATCATGTTCAAATAATAAATGGATAATGAATAATTTGTCCTTATCAACATCATCATCATTATCTCCGCCATCATCTTTGACAATTGTTTCTTGCAAACTTCATAATGTGAAAAATAAATTCACAATAAACAATTAAGCTGATTCACATGAAACATTGCATCGATTCCGTTAAATGAAATTCACAGAAATTTAACTGACTAAAGTTATCTGTTTCTGTAATTAGTTAATGAATTCAATGATAACTAAATGACATAATAAACAAATTATGTTCCTATGAATTTATTATATATTTTTTGTTTTACAACTAAATAATTACATGTTACATAAAGATTTTTCTATTATAAATCGATATTAACTGAATGGTTAATGAAGTTGATTAGTAAGGGAGTAGATGTTTTATGATATTTCTGATATAACATAATGATATTGACTGTAAGCGAAAGTATGATCCTAGATACATATTAGCTTGTAAATGACAAATTCGAGATTTCGTAATCATAAAAAAAATTTGTAGTTTTTGATGAAGTTTTATTCTCTGAGCTGGATGGTTTGGTCGTGGAGCTTCCATCGTTCTTCTGAACGACATCATCAGCACAAACTTCAGATAGAAGTGAAGCGTTCGTATTTCTCCCAATGGGAGACACAACCAAAGCAAAGAAGTAAACAATGACAAATTTAAAGTCGATAAGAACCAATCAACGTCGAGGTGTACAGAACAAGCTATGAAACGCATATGGATAAATTAGAACACTTCACTTCTATCTGAAATTTGTGTTGATGATGTCATTCAGAAGAACGACGAAAGCCCCACGACCAAACCATCCAGCTCAGAGAACAAAACTCTACCAAAATCATCCACTTGAGCTACAAATCTCCACCATCTCAAAAAAATTTGTAGTTTCTGTAATCAAATGAATAATTTGAAATGGTTTTGAGCTTTAACACACAGATGGATAAATAATACGCTGTGACAATTAGCCTAGAATTGAATTTTTCAGTTATTTGAATTGAATGTCAATATGTAAAGTTTCGATTGGTCGTTATACAGTTGGAACATATTGAGTTGAATCGTCAAATTCATCATGGGTGTAAAATTCTAAGAAATCTACAAAAATAATAAGATAGTTATTAAAAAATTTTCAATCCATACCAAGAACTGATCAATGAAAACCGAAAAACAATATATATTTTATCCTAGTATGAAACTCTTTAGGAGCACACACCCACGACTATATCATGGATGGAACCCAAGACCTTCAGTTCTTGCTGATAGCTCTTAGCCTTTAAACCATTGGACCTGTAACCAACGTCTTACATCTCTAGCCTCAATTAATTCACATTTTTGCTCAAATACCTTTAAGTGTTGATGTGTAATTATTAGTGACTTATTTTTGGAGTTGATTCCCTGAATTTTAGTGGTAACCAGTGGGATGCAACCATGTTGAGTTTGAGTCAGTTACACACTAATAACATTGGAAGATAGTTTAACAGTGCCGCGGGTAGATCGAAGTTAGGAATATAAATCAGTTAATGTTATCTCAGTAGTCAAAATTTTTAAACAAGGATTTATGTGAATTTTCAACAGTGAATAGAATATAGCTTATAAGACTGTGTATACATATCATGCAGTCTTTACGATCATTCTAACTACTGGATTTTTTTATTTTTCATAAACATAATTGCACTCAAATAACTAATAATAATAATAATAATAATTTCTTTAAGACAAACCCACTGTTTGATAAGCTAAATATATAATCAAGTTGGATAAGATTGAGGTATCGTCTAAGGAATGAATAAAAAACCTTGAATAATTGTCTTGTTTTATTGTATAACTTTCCAATATTATCAACACTGTATACCTCTCATATTTAGGACGTATTAGCAGCCGCTCATAGAAACATTATTGATACAATTCATTAACTGTAGGTTTTTAATTTCCAATCAATTTAACTTACAGATTCAAAATATTTGATACAAATTTAAGACAATTTAATATTTTATGATATTACGTAATTGGACTATAGGCTTTTGAATAGTATATTCTTCATTATCGTTATAGCCGCTAGCTCATGATAGAAATCGATTTTTAATCTAACATATCTAGAATATGACAATATACATATTCTTGGTAGTACTGTTATTTAATTACGAAAACCCGTCAGGTTGTTAGTAAATTATTCATGGAATGAATCAATAAGGTTTTTTTTTATAAAGTTCCTTACGTAGTTAATTAAATACCCCATAAGTTGTTGGATTTGATTTCACTATGAAAAACACAAAAATCATATACAACAATCATTATGAAACAGAAATCACTAAATAACTCTTTTTATCTTAGTACATGAGACTCTTTAATTGTGCACACTTATAACTACTTCAAGTATTAAATCATTCTTAGAATTGGATCATTTATACAAATATCTAATACCTAATATTTTTGATCCAATAACATGTCAATCATGAATAACGTTAATGGACACTTAAAATAGTTTTAAATGTGTATTGTTTTCTTTTAATAAAGACAAGTCTAAACATAATTTACTTATAGTAATAATTATAGTCTTAAACACATATGTTAAACAGTTTTTTTTTTGAATACCAAGAAAAAAAACATTTATCATGAGAAAAAGTAAACATTGACATCTTCACCTTTGAACATCTTTTTATTGAACAACATATTGTAATGGTCAGTACTTTGAATTTTTCATTTACATTTGAAACACTAAAGCAACAAAACCCCTACTGAAAAAAAATTATTATTATGACGGAGATTTGAATTCCCTTTGTTGTTCATGTATATTAAGTACATTTCTATACACAAACATACACAAACATACATATACATACATATATAGTAAACATATAGACATACACATATGGACATATACATGTAGACACGCGCAAAAATAAGGTTACACGATTTAAATTTGCAAAGGTATTTTTATATCTACGTATATATATATCACAGTTACACCTGTTGAAGTATTTTATTTATGATTAACTTTAATTCCTTTTTTTTTCTTTTTTGTTTATAAAGGGCGCAGAAAATTATTTTTTTGTTGTTGAAAAATATGTTAAAAAACACACACACACATTAAAAAGTTTTATTTCTTAAAGAGTTAATGGACTAAACTCTTTCATGAATGTGTACATATATATATGTGTTGTTATGTGTATATCTATATATTTATAGATTAATATTGAAGATGTTCCATATAAGCTTACAAATATTTTATGACATGTACTAACTAAATAAATTGAGTATATTTTATCACTAAATAAATATACCTCAATATCAGTATTCTCTTTGATATATATATTCTTTGTGTTATCCCTTTATCAGAATATCGACGATCACGGAATTATTTTATACATCCGAGTTCAATTATTTCTTTATGTTCTTCCTATTTTACTCAAATACAAACACACATAGAGATGAGAGGGATAAATAAATACAGATGTTTAAAATTAAAACTAAAGTATAGATCCATACGTTGACATTTATGTGTATGTATGTGATGAATATTCATTTTAATGATCAAACTTCTGTATAAAGATGTATATGTGCACGTACATGTCATTTTATGTACAAAAAGATACAGAATAATGGTTAACAATAAATTGTAAAGTTGTATCGTTTCATTTAGTAAGAAATAAATATATATAACCACCCATTTAATAACTCAATTGAATTCCTTTTTTTCTTTAAGTTCGAATAGAATTTTAAATGAAATTTTCTTATAAAACATATAATTATATGTTTCTATATTGTGCTTCATTAAGGCGAAGAATAGAGGTTTAATTGAAAAGCAAAAAAAAGAAAGAAAAAAAATATGAAACACACATATAAAGTAACAAGATGTTTGACTAGGTTAAGTTCAGTTTCATTGATTGTTCCATTGTCTTATTAAATTAGCTATATTCTTTTTATTTGAATTGCGATAGTAGACATTATAAACATAAAAAGTTACTGGACATTATTTTTACGTTATTCTATACTAAAGAGTTTTTAATTTCTTGTTGAAGATTAAATATAATCGATCTCTGATGTCATTTATACATCCTGAGTGAACTGTATTGATATATAGCCTTTGGTAACAAATTTTAGAATAACTCATCAGTTGAATGCACCTGGATACCATTGTCGATACTCATCTTCAGTCCTTGATATCAACTACGAGAAAATTCAACCCTTCATGTGCGAATTCATACTTGTTGACAAACTTAATGGTTATCCGAATTCAGTAATTTATAAGATGACACATTGTTGTTTAAAGTGGTGGGTACTGGGTTCGAGTCCCACTGTGAATTTGAACGCTAATCCATGGTGAGATTATAAATGTACAGAATTAAGGAGTCTTCCACTTGGACAAAACGGCTTAGGAGTACCTTCTAGTCTCAAATACACTCTAACTGAAATAAATCTGTGACAAATACAACATAATAATTTATTTGTATTTTAAGTCGTTCACAATTTTTTTAAATAACGGGTTGCTTGAGTATGGCTGAGTTATTATAACTGATCTCAAGATTAACTATTTACGTTAATGTTGCATTCATCAAGATGATAATTTTAATTGAGAGTTTATATCAAGTGTTAAATTATTTACAAACAAGGTGTAATATTAATTGATTTGTGTACATTTTAATTACAAGTAGTCGAAATACACCTCTGAATTTTGTTTTCGTATTTGTTATCACTAAGAAAGTTTTGTCTACAATATTCCCAGAAGTAATACTTTCCATAAACGTCAAATGAAATCAGCTCACTGATGCGCTATTCCGGACATTTGAGATTGATGAAGCCTCACTCGGGAAAGCCCATAGATTTATCTGCGTCAGGATCCGCTTGGACGTAATTTCGTGGGAAAACCATTAGAAACCCAGATATTGAAGTGCGGGCGTCTTTCCTGTGGCAAGTATGGTCTACATGCATACAGTGACACACAAGTTTTCACTAATGCATCTCATAACATACATACAGGTATATTCACTCACCTAGGAAGATAAATATTCACAGATTTATTTGAGTGTCTTTGCTACAACTGACTGTCTCTTACTTATTATTTGCATACCATTAATGCAAAGACTTTCGTCCATGTACTTCAGGAAATGAACGTAAGCATGGGCACG